TTCTGTTTCTTCCTTCAGAAAAAAATATAAAAGAAAATAACTAATAAGTTTCCTATTTCTAGTAGGTTTAGGATTACATTCCTGTTTCTTGCAAGATTAATTAGGTCATTATATAAATACATGCTTTGGAATTCAGACTTTACGGATATTAATGACAGCATTTGCTCTTCTATCTTTATATTTATAGAATTTTCCGTAGAGTTTGAAACTTTCATATCATACAGGCCCTTCCGCCGCGGCAGCCCCAAATCCTAAATTAAATTCCCGTTGTGCCTCAATTTAAGCATTCCAATAGCAAAGGCCCTATCATGGGAGATCGGTGTATATCTCAATTTTCCATGGCCGCCGCCGAGCTTACCTCGAGTCAAGGCCATGCCTTGACGATGGCTTCACACCAAGATGATCTACTGGGCAAGATATCGGAGATGGAGAAATCTGTGGGCAAGATATCAGTGATGGAGAAAACTCTGGGCCAACTGTTGGATTGGTCGAAATCAATAACGCAGGAGCTTCGCTTACGACAACCCGGTCCACCCGTAATGACGGAGCCGCTTCCACCTTCCACGGTGATTGAGTACTGCAATCCCAACCATGAGGCTGATGATCTTTACCCAAGGTCGGTAATTTTGCTTAAGTTTTCTCGCTGCTGTATGCAGTTTGAATAATTTGCTTGAAATATGTAATAACCAGTTTCTACTAGATAAATTCTCTCTAGGCAGGGTAGGTCTTTGAAAAGATTTAACTTGACTAATTTTATACATCTCTTTTCTCTGTTCAGCTTGCCCGAGGATTGGGAGCATGCATCAATGACGGTAAATCAAGAGGAAGCTAGATCTGTATATTTATTCGTGTCTTCTTATGAGGACGATGAGCACGCTAATGCAGTCTATGAAGTGAAATTCAAACATGGAGGAGAAGTCACTCATGAATCCCCAGTAGTTAGACATGTTGCCAAGTTTCGCAAGAGTTCTTGCCATGGTGCTGCACGGATTTTCAACCACTCCATATTATATTGCATTGGACATGATGGTGGATTTATTGTTGACACAGAGAGTTGGTCAAAATATTCATCTATTCCTCCTATCCCAGCCTCTAAATCACTAGAAACTATTGTGAGTGCATATGGCAAGGTTTATTATCTTGCATGTCCATCAACCTTCTTATCACCAATAACGGGGCCCTCCTTTGGGAGATATGATCATGATCAGAAGATTTGGAAGCAAATGACTCCTTTTCCATTTTATGATGATTATGACCCCCATATGCAAATAACTGGTTTTGCCGTTTGTTATGGTGCTATTTTGTTTTCATTGTCTGGCTTGAGGAACGGGAAATTCGGTGTCGTTGCTTTTCATGTGGGTAGAAAGGATTGGAATCGAGTGAAAGTTGACACTTCTGATTATTGTGCTCCTCCATTCCAAGGGAGGGCTGTGGTTGTAGACGAGACTATCTATGCCTTATATGGGGAGTCAAATATTATAGCATTCTCCTTTACTATGGACGAACATGATGATAATGGTATTCATTATTCCCTAAGAAAACTTTTTATATTGCAAGGCCTTGAGTTCGAGCGTCCGGTGCTGCCATGTTTTAACGATAGGTCACAGTATTTGGTTCATTTGGGGAACCATGACTTTTTCCATGTCCAGACTGGCTGGTGCGATGGATATCTCAAGGTTCAATATCTTAGTATCACCACGTTTCAAATTGTTGTTGGAGAAGGAGGAAGACATATGATCAAGACCATATATTCAACCCTTCATTCTGTGGATATCAAGGGCTCTGAATGGTTTGATCTTGTTTTTTGCTTCACACCGTAAGTTTCCTTCACGTTTCTTGTGTTTTATCGATAACATTTAATTTGTAGGTTGGAATTCTGGTGCATTTTGTGTATAACAAAGTTTCTCATTCTTATGACTCAGCGAGTGCGAGGTTGATGAACCCTTTGGATTAGAATGAATCAGCCAAAACAAGAAGAAATAACTGCCATGAAGCTGGAAATAGAAGCCCTGCAGCATGAAGAAGCCATTGATGCGCGAATCGAATATTAAGAATTGTGAAATATGAAAATTCAAAACCCTTGGATAGCCACCACCTAGAATAAAAAATCTCCTTATAACTTGGTTTAGGTAATTTTAATTTGTCTTTGTTGAGTTCCGCTTATTTTAATTATATATTTATGATAATGTTGTCTTGATTCTTCAGAAAGTAAGATGGAAACTGTGGTACTGTGTTAATCTTTTATGGATTGGTTTTCCTCAAGCTGTGAACTGGTTCTAGTTTTGCTTATGTTTTTTTTAGTCCTATTTCTTTGCTTTTCTATTTTCACTCTTGTGGACGACCAATACTGGATCCTATGTTATCTGATGTTTGGATTATTTAGTTTCTAACAAGAACTGCGGGTCATTTTGATTGGATTGGTTTGTTTGCTGGACACGAAAATGGTTCTGGGAATCTGTTTGGGACTAAAGATGGAAACTGAAATAGAAGCCTTCACGTTTCAAATTGCTCTGAGGAAATCCTTTGTTATCTGATGAGGTCCACCTTGTTTGGATTTTATCAGTTTTCTGGAACCCTTCTGAGGAGAGCCCCATACATCTTCAGCTTTCACTCCCACAAACCCCAAATATTTAACGTATCTCTCATAATCTCCAATTCAATCTTCAGGTTCACAAGCTCATCCCTTTAAGCAATGGCTCTGTTCAAATGGGTCTTTTTGATTTTCTTAGCCATATTAGTGATTATGCCACTTCCCAATTACCATTCTTTGAGCCCGGAAGAGGTGGCTCAAATCCCAGATAAATTTTTTTGACTGTGCTAAAAAGCGGCAGCAATCGATATATAGATCCAGTTTTGGCTGCTTCCAGTGTAATCCTTAGTCTGCTGCAACATCTTGTTTCACGTAATTAAAGCCGACCCCTTGGATTGACAGGTTCACTAAAGACCTTTGTCTTATCACATATAGCAACTAGTATCTCATTCACATTATACTCACTCACATGAATTAAATGTTAACATCTTATTCACATGTACAAGAGGTATGACGTGGCCATACTACCATAGTATTCTATAATTTCTCTATCATATGCTTGTTAGACCCCCTTTGCAAGGAATAGCGCCCTCGTTACTCCGTATCCATTCAATTTTGTGAAAGCTAGCGAATATATCTTGCAGGTTGTTACAGTTGGAAACTTCCAAGGAGGTGGTGCATTCAATGTTATTCCAGATTACAATTGGTGGCACGTCCAGAGCATTTTCAAAGGAAAGCTTTATCCAACTTAAACAAAGAACATGAAGAGAAATATCGTATGCTGATTATCCATTTCTTTTACAATGTCCTATCACAAAATGTTAATTCTATAAGAATTGGAGTTGCAGGTTATAACAAGGCAAGCCAGTGTACAAAGGTGCAGTGCAACCGTCGTGTTCAATGGAAACGATAAGCCCTATACCCCACCGTGGCTGTTATCGACAAGGATCTGCATTAACACTTCCGAAATGTTGCAGGACATTTGCTCGGGCATCACTACATAGTGGAGAGGCAACTGATGATGGGTTCAGAAGACTTCTCATTTTATCAAGAAGTAATTATTCCAGGATACTTTTTCCTTCTTGGTATGAAGAATGAGACTTGAGGAAAGTTTGAATTGGGGCATTCACCGTTGTTTAGAATAAATGAAGACGTTCTTCCGTATGGAGCAGCAATTGCATGCATCATTGGCCACAAGGTACCTCCTGGAAAATCAACCCAAATCTACTTGGCCAAAAGGGAACTCTCATGATTAGTTATGAAGCGCTAGGATGAAGTGAGGGTTCTACCCATGTAAACCACTTGCAGCCTGTGAGCTGCATGTGAATTTGATGCTAGAATCTCCCATATGTAAATCTTACTTTGCACAAAGAAAGTCAGCTATCCCATTAAGTGTTCCCATTAACTGTTCTTTCTATTTTATATATTAATGGTAGAGGATTTGAATTTGGGAACTCGAGAAAAAGTACCATTAGAGCTGGCCTTTAATGGTTGAGAAGAGAAGTACCATTAAACTACCGTCAAGTTGGTGATGTACAAATTTGTTAAAGACAATGAAATTATTATGATACTAATGTTAAATTAAGTAGACGATGTCCTACAGAATGCTACAGAATGAAATTATGAATATGTTAAAAAAACGACAGGTCGTTTCCGTAGGAATCATGTCACGTGTGTAAAATACCCTTCGATTGATGACGTTCTGCCATTAGCGCCTATCATCTACGAGTCTTGGAGCTCTAAAACGGTTGCTTTCTCATCCCTCGTATGATGAGGTCACCGTCTTTGGATTGTTTTGTTGGTACCCTTCTGAGTGCAGAGTCACCTACATCTTAGCTTTCACTCCTACCTAACCCAAAATTTTAACCCACTCTCTCATATTCTCCAATTCAGTCATCAGATTCGCAAGCTCAGTTCTTGCAATCAATGGCTCTCTGCAAATGGGTCTCTTTGATTTTCATAGTTCTGGTGATTATGCCACTTCTCATTTCTTCAGACCATTCTTTGAGCCCGGAAGAGGTGGCTCAAATCCCAGTTAAGTTCCTCGACCATGCTAAAAGGCAGGAGCTTTTTGATTTTATGGTGGGTGTTCGAAGGAAAATACATGAAAACCCAGAACTCGGTTTTGAGGAATTAGAGACTAGTAAGCTTATCAGAGCTGAGCTTGACCAGATGGGCATCCCTTACAAATACCCATTGGCTGAAACTGGTATTGTTGGCTTTATTGGGACTGGTGGACCGCCTTTTGTTGCAATTCGAGCGGATATGGATGCTCTAGCTATGCAGGTTTAGTAGAATTTTGGAGCTTTATAAATTTAGTTTTTGTCAATGTTTGAGTAGGATTATATTCATGTTGGACTTTTAGTGCTGGACTTGAGAGAGTTGGAAATTAATCATTAATATTGACTGTTATTTTGAACTAAAGCTAAAGACAAATTGATGACAAGTATTGGGTTTTCTTTTGGTACAGGAGAGTGTGGAGTGGGAGCACAAGAGTAAAGTTCCGGGGAAGATGCATGCATGTGGACATGATGCTCATGTTGCCATGCTTCTTGGTGCTGCAAAGATACTTCAAGAGCATCACCACGAATTACAGGTTTCCTTGTCCTTCTATTTCTAGAATAGAAGTTGGATTTTTGTTGATGTGAACCTATTGTGTTCGTTTTACTGGTTAATTTTATGGGTTGAAGTAGTTACGTAACCTTGAACATCGTGCTGGTATGGACTTTTGACAATTTCATAAAGCAATTATACAATAAAAATTGTCATTTCAGATGGGGAAACATGGTTCCTGATTCGTCTCTGCTGTTACACAAAACATCAGGTTATAAAAAAAATACAAAATCATTATACATATGTGTCCCCTGTTTGACAATCCCCATATAGAAGCATGCAGGTTAGCTGATTGAGATTATCAGTCCTCATATGTGTTGAATTTCTTGGCTGGATGTTATGTGGTTACACACATTAGCAGTTTGACTTAGCTTCCCAGAAGTTTACTTATAAAAGAAGAGCTTAGACCCCTCAATAGTAATTGTCATCAAGTTAAAGATGTGACTACCAAAAGTGTATCAATACGTAGATGACATAATAAGGAGGGAGGAAACACGGTGATGTTAATTGACTTTTGGAGTGCCCACTGGAAGTTGGAATTGCATTATGATGTAGCCAGCTACCAGGGTCGAGCATAGTACTTAGTCTATAGATTGCTAGGTGTGTGTATTTCTTAGTAGGGTTATTGGCATATTGAGTACACTTAGCATCAATGACACATTCACCGTAAGTTATTTTCTCACTTACATTTTTGTTAACTTCCCTATGTCATTGTAGCACAAGCATTGTATTCTTCAGTGGATTGTCAATTTTATGAAAATGTACTTTGAATGTAGCATAAGAAGTTGCTTGCTCACTAATGTTTCTACATAAAGAGCTCTATCTTTCCTTTATTGGGATATTTGATTATGGAGCTGCATTATTAGATATTCCATTGTTTTCTGTCAGCTGAATAGCAGTCTCATTTAATATATCTCTTATCTCCAGAAGAAAGTTTTCTTAGTTATTTGTTATGTTTCTTATAGGGAACAGTTGTTCTTGTTTTCCAACCAGCTGAGGAAGGAGGTGGAGGAGCAAAGAAAATGTTAGATGAAGGGGCATTGGAGCATGTTGGTGCCATCTTTGGGTTGCATGTCGCTGCTGATTACCCCATTGGTTCAGTGGTCACCAGGTCTGGCCCTTTTTTGCCGCGAGTGGTTTTTTTGAGGCAGTAATAAGTGGGAAGGGGGGTCATGCTGCCATTCCACAGCACACAATAGACCCAATCTTGGCTGCTTCCAATGTCATTGTTAGTCTGCAACATCTTGTTTCACGTGAAGCTGACCCCTTGGAATCACAGGTTCTCTTTATGTCTCTCTGTCTCTCCCTCTCCCTCTCCCTCTCCCTCTCCTCTGCTTGTGTCATTTTATATCTCTCAAGTAACCCATCAAATCAAAATAGCCCAAGCAGTGCAGCTGTGTGGAAGTAAAAACTTGTATTGTTCTTGCAGCAGCCGTATGGAATGGAACTTCCAATTATATGTCGTATCAGTATCTTTTTTATAAATGATTTATTTTAGTTCCATAATCCATTTTAGTTCCTGTTATTCCTGTACCTTGGTTCTTCATTACTTTTGAACGTTGATCTTCTTGACCCCTTTGTTTTGCACTACACATATTTTATCTTTCCGTTGCAATAAAATCCTCTCTGTCCCATAAAATTTGAAGTGAAAATTCTACCCAGATCATTTTTGCTTTCAAATATAGAAAGTAATTAAATGTTTTCTTTTCCCTATGCTGTCGCTCACTCATGGGTAAATGTTAACCTCTTACTTCATGTGCCTGTTAGACCCCTTTGCAAGGAATAGTGCCGTGATTACTTCATATCCATTTAGTTATATGAAAGTATATCTTGCAGGTTGTTACCGTTGGAAAATTCCAAGGTGGTGGTGCATTCAATGTTATTCCAGATTCTGTTACAATTGGTGGCACGTTCAGGGCATTTTCAAAGGAAAGCTTTATCCAACTTAAACAAAGAATTGAAGAGGTATTCCTCCCTTTACTTTCGGCATCCTGACTGAGAGCTGAAGTAAAAAATACCCTTTGCTGTCTTTATTGATTTCGTTTACAATGTCACATTGTAAATGTTAATTCTTTATCTGAATTGCAGGTTATCACTAGGCAAGCCAGTGTACAGAGGTGTAATGCAACAGTCCTATTCAATGAAAGGGATAAGCCCTTTTACCCTGTGGCTGTTAATGACAAAAATCTGCATGAACACTTCCGAAATGTTGCAGGTGATTTGTTGGGCCCTCAGAACATATTGGAAAGGCAACCCATGATGGGTGCAGAAGACTTCTCATTTTATCAAGAAGCAATTCCGGGATACTTCTTCTTTGTTGGTATGAAGAATGAGTCTCAAGGAAAGTTTGAATCAGGGCATTCACCGTTCTTTAGAGTAAATGAAGATGTTCTTCCATATGGAGCAGCATTGCATGCATCATTGGCCACAAGATACCTCCTGGAAAATCAACCCAAATCTACTTTGCCGAAAGGGAGCTTTCATGATGAATTGTGAAGCTCTAGGATTGATAGTTAAGGGCTCTACTCATGTAAACCACAGTATGAACTGCTTGCAGATTTGATGTTGTATCTTCGCCATGTAAAGCTGACCTTTTATCAATAATTCAGCCAACCTGTTGATGATGTGATAAACCTGTTGTGTTAATAGTGAGTGGAAATTTTGTTCTTTTTTCAAAATAACAACTTAAACCCATTTTCATTGAAGAATATCAAAATATCCTTATTTAAATAGTAATGGTTCCTAATTAGTAATGTTCCTCCTCACTGTTCTTCACAAATTATGGCCAATGCAGTTCTATTATACATGGATTTTATGTTAACGCATAGACCTCACCGATCCCTTCATCAAAGCAGAGTATAAGTCATTAGCTAATGTTTAATTGCAATGCCAATAATTATCTCATTTAAATTGAAAACCTACCTTGAACAATAATGAATAATCTCCTTGGAATTTTACTGATAATAAAGATGCTGCACATGTGACAATGTGGCATGTTGCTCATTATGAACCTAAAACTTTAAGTAGGGTATACCCTCAAGTGGATAAATTATACAATGGTACTGGTGCTGAAGAATGAAGATGACATTATGTTAATGCTTTCCCTTATTTGAGGTTACCACCCTTCATACAATTTCCAAAGAATTTGTTTGGGCCAATGGGGTCTACCCCGATGGAAAATGGCCTCGACTTGCAGATTATAGGTCTTAGGTTTGAAGGCTCATAGAATTTTGGTTGAAATCTTGGTGTGTGAAAAAAAAAAAAAAAAAAAACCCCCCTCCCATCCCATGTAGGGTTATTTTTTTGTTGATAAAAGAACGATAGTATTTATTGACTACCACATTATATCAATCAATCTAAGGCTCTTTTGAACTGTTTTCTAAAATAAGGCTCATGGCCCCAGTGAAGTAAGATTCTGCGAAAAGAAAAAAGGAAACAAAATCAATGAAGTTGTTTCCAAAATAAGAGTCCTGCTAAACCAAGTCTATTGCAATTGCAATTAACCAAAAACTCCTTTCCGTGTTAATTAAAGATCCCCCCAATCAGTGCAGCAGATTAAAGAAGGTGATCAGTTTGGTTGATTCATTCTGTGATTCTGTAAATGTAAAAACTTAAAGTCCAAAGCCAAAATCACCATAAACTTGCAGTACTCGTGTGCCTGCAGCTTGCATAAAAAGCTTCAATTGGTTAAGATAAACTAAAACTCATCTTCTTAAGAGAGAAAAGAGAAGCAGTTTTTTAGATCAAAATGGAGAGTTTAGAGTTGAAGTTTGACAGCGCATGTGATTGTTGGGTGTTGGAGCCCATTGAAGGCTTCAAACCAAGACCCTCAAATCCAACCTCTACCAACAGACCCTCCACTGATACTTTGCCATCATCAATACCTTCACCAACTAGCAATTCTGCACCACCATTGCAACCACTTCCAAGAAGTGGCTTGTCTTCTCCCACTTACTTCAATCTCCGTGGTTTACGAAAGCCTAGTCAAGGAAGGTTTCGCAAGATTGTGATTCGGTTTTGGAAATGTATCAAGCCAAGAATTCAATCAAGTCCTGCAAAAAAAGCGAAACAAGGAATGAAGCCTGGTGGTGCCTCAACCAAGACAAGAAGCAGTGTGCAGTCACCACAGGCACATCATGCTGAGTATTATTCCACAATGAGCCCCGATGAGCGCGATGAAAATCTAAAGGCGATCATCATCTACTGCAGGAAGTCTAATTCTACAGAGTCTACAGAAGTGGTAAGAAAATTTCAACTTCATGTCTCTTGTTAACGGTGCTTCTCTCAATTGACAGATGGAAAAACATGAGATATATTGACATGATATGATTTGTATTACTTTGCAGATGGCAGAAAACTGATGTTATATAAGCAGGAGGCAGATTGGATTCTTTTTATTCTAGAGTCTACATTGTCTGATTAAAGGTTTCTTTTGTCTCTTTTGTCATACAAATATATTATGAGTTATGGATTCTACTTTTGCCTGTGATGAGGCTTTAGGCTTTAAATGGATGCTACATATCAAGAAGCAGAGCAAGGAAGAGCCATTTTATTTAATGTATATTTCATTAGAATGAAAGCTAACCCCATTAATTTGTCAATTGTCACTCCACAAGAAAGCGAAACCGTAACATCTGCTAAAATTTCTATGATATTTTTCTAAAATGTTACTAAGCTGTCATGGCATTGTTTTTCTTGTTATCACTGAAGACCATGGAACCAAATTCAACATGATACAGGTTTTTTACTATCAGTTGCCTACTGGTATTTATTTTGAATGCCATTTGAAGCCCAAAACTAGACCTGTTTTTGCAGGCACCATATGCCATTCCTTTGCCTTGAATTTAAAAATGGATTTGAACCTCCAAACCCTAAATCCAAGTCTCAAACCTTTCTCAAGCCTCAAATCCTAACCCCAAGACTATTATGGGGCACTTATGACTTGATTAGGCTTGGATACTCACGTAACTCAACCTAGGGTCATCTTTTCCAATCTTTACCTTATGTTTGGTTGCTGAGAAAGCAATGGGGAAAGTAAAATTGAAAATAGAATCTTTACCTATTTAAATAGTATAGCCGCGCGGCTATACTATTATATTCGAATATTTTTAGAGTATAGCCGCCCGGCGTTACTTTTAAAATATATTAATATGAATATTCGAAAATAGAATCCCACTTAATCGACGGTGCAGGAGACAGTATACTCTTCGGCTGAGAAACAAATTTTCCTTTTGTTTTCCCATCCACTTTCTCGAAGGCCAAACAGAGAGAGAACGAAGGAAAAACCTCAACTAGAAAAATTGTCAGCGATGAAGAAGCTAGCGAGACAATTGAGGAAGTCACAGGACGATGACTTCTCTCTCCCTACGTGGGACGACCCTACTCTCAACGATTCTCGTCCCCTAGACATTCAAGGTTTCTCTGAGTTCTATCTACGATTGGCTGCCAATAAACGCTATCAAAATGAAAAATTTGAATTTTTATTCGATTTTTGATTAAATGGGTTGTCTTGTTTGCAGAACAAGAAGAGTTGGTGCGTTCATTCGAGAAGAGTCAAGCTCAGCAGAGTCGTTTATGGAGGGTATATTTTAGTCCTATCCACCAAGTAAACAATTTTGGTTGATTTTCTTTTCCTTGCAACCATGAACTAATTGCTTGCTGATTCTTCTTTTGCTAGCTTTTGTTTGCATCACTTCTCTTTTGCTTCACTGCGTTTCTGTTATACTCGATCTTCCAGCAGGTTTTGTCTCCATGGGAATTGGTATGTTTCTCTCTCTCTCTCTCTCTCTCTCTCTCTCATTTAAAGCCAGATCAAGCATTTTGCTTTTTTCTTAGTTCTCATTGAATTAGATTTTCCAGTGTTATCAGCACTAGATGCTTGGCAATGGGAATTTTCTATCAATTACATTTCATTAATGCTTTGAAAGACATTGGGTTCAAATTTGGGATGGGTATTTAATAATATTTATTTTAACAATGAGACCTAATACAAGTAGTGAATATGTGGTATCTTCAATTAACAACTGTAAGGATTTCCGTTCTGAGATAAAGTTGGAAAATTTCACTAGGTAGATCTTGTTACTGTGGAAAAGTTTAGAGATAAGCTGTGGGTTGAGTGCATTTTTGTTGTTTATGGAACTTCGGGAATTTGAGGCATGTAGTATTTTCTTGTCAATCTGTTCTCTTCATTTGTTGTCACTCTCTAATATCGATGATGAGACGAAGGTCAGATGGGCAACTTGTTTATTATATGTTGAATTTTGTGGCTATGTTTTTCCGAAAGATATATTTACTCACCGAACTGTCATATTTTGTTCTTGATCACAGCGTTATCATGCTTACTTCATGGAGGAGTTGCACTCATGGATGATTATATCAGCAGGTGTTTTTCCAATACTTATCATTAGTTGATGGTAGAGTCACATGCACTCATGAGATAACCAACTTATAATAATATATTTCCAACCATTCGTTCCTTCAAATTTCTTCCAGTGGTAGCTTCACTGGTCTGATTTGAAACTGTATTCTGGACATGATATGTACCTTTTGGACTTGTTTCATATAGGAACAGGTAGTAATAACATACTTTTCTACTCGATCTATGTTCTTTGGGTTTTAAACCTAATCCGTAATTTTCACTGTTGAGGGAAGCAAACTTAGCATGATGTTTCAGTGTTTAAATGGCTGTCTTGTCACAATAATTTAAGATGAGATAATTAACTAATAAAAACTTTAACAGATTGGCTAGCTGTTATAGCATGTTCATCAGCCATCATAGGATTACTTCATGATTCAAAGCATCACCGGCGATGGATTTGGTACTCACTATTTACTGGCATTATACTCGCAGTTTTCTGGTTGTATTACATGTTGAGGTATGTTTACTTCTCAAACACACACATTCTAACGTGAGTTAATTATCTTTTAATTTCTCTAACCAATATACTTAAGGCACCAACTACTTCTAAACATATATGATACTTGTGCAGATTGCCAAGGTTCCGCTGGGATGTAATCTGGCTTCCATTTGGACCTCTAAGGTATGATCAAATGTGATTTATGTTCGTAAGTTGACCATGCAACTTTTAAATTTAAGTGAGTCATCACGAATGCATATGTATACGTTGGAATTGCAGTGGAGCAGGACTCACTCTGTACGTCGATCATCTACTAACTGAGTCATCAGAAGAGATAAGAAAACTTCGAGGCTATATGTATGCTTACAAAGCTAGCTGAATCTCGTGTTTGTTTGTCTTTGACATTGATCCAAGATAGATAGCACAGGGAGTAGACTAAAAGTGTGACTCTGGTATGAGGGAGCTCGTATGAGCTGCGTTAATCGCATGGAAAAATCCTTGTTAAACTCTAAGGTAATTCTCTTTAATCATATTTTGTAAAACTAATTTTGAATAATTAGTGGGGTCTGAGAGTTTATGAATTTTGTTTTAGAGGCCTCCTTAATTCTGCTCTCTAAAGTTCCCAGTTTCACGATTGGATCACCTTTATCAATTTTTGTTCACACTGCATCAAAACATTCACATGCTAATGGAGTTTCAAAATGTTTTGGGGTTCTATTCACCTAGTGTTCTGGTACCTTACGTGCTCATTCATGTAGCCTCTTGTCCTCATGTATCCTAGTGCTTTGTATGAATGGAGATAAGTCAATGAGTTTCTAATGACCTGTTTCTTCTCTGTTTCCTAATGTATCTGAAATTCATGGAATAATTTCTGTCGTTTAATGTGGTGTTGGTAGATTTTATTTTTACTCGCAAGCTATCCTTCAAATTCTGTTCTTTGATTTTATTTTGGCTGTCGACAGAGTTGTTATGCAATAATTTTTTATGTAGTTTAATAGGTTCCATGCCCTTTCTTTGAAACTGAATCTTAGTTTTTGACCTGGTCTACTTTCTTGGAATCTATGGAATGCTAACCTGAAAATGTATTCTAACTGGCTTTGATGGGAGATATTTGGTAATATTTGGGTCATTCCTTTCTCCTTTTGTTGTTGATGGGGATCTGCCTAATGTCTTGGGAGTGTTTATAAACTTTGCTTCTGACTGCTAGTGCTACTTACAGGAAGGGGAATTTTTTATTTTTGTTTTGTAAAAGCGTGAATTTTGAGTTTTAGGGTTGTTTTTATTAATATGCTTAATGGAGCTTTGGCTGTGTGTTTGCAGACTTTCTGTATTGGGGATTTGCAGGCTTCATATCTGCACAAAGAGTATCATAAAAGACCAAAAGAAAAATAAGTTGAACGAATTTTATTTATACTTTATGTAATATTTATAAACAGACCTTTTGAGGAACGGTATTGTTTTCCTAACAAAAGATGTTACTAAAACCATGTTAGTCGCAGAGGGCTGGACAAAATGTTTTTTTTACAACTTTTAGCGCCGGTTTCTGTACTGCTGCGTTTGTTGCTTTTTGAAACGTTCTAAACAAATATGGATACTTTTGTAAATTGCATGTGGAACTCTAAGGTATCTTAAAATGTGACATTCATGTCCATAAGTTGTTTATGCAACTTCTAGGTTTATTCATGAACACATAGGTATGCTATCATGTGTATTGTGTGGGAGAAAAACTGAGACAAAAGGCACACTTGTACATGTGAGATTAGGATTTCCTTATTCTTAATGGTTTTGTTTTAATTTTTCTTATTATTTATAAATATGAAAAGGCCAGATTTGTTTTACGTTCTTACGAAACAATTGGCAAAGCACACTCACTTTGTGGCAGTGAATGCGTTAGATTGTTTAAAGATATCAAACAGAGCCTTTTTTTTTCTTTTCTTTCTTTCCCCTTAGCGTATAATAAAGCGGAGACATTTTGAAAACCAAAAAAAACAACCAAACTCAAAAAGTTAAAAAGTGTTACAGTTTATAATTTTGATTTCTAGATTTCGCTTCTGACCAGAAAAAGAAAAGAAAAAAAGAGTTCTAGATTTTGCTTATTCGTTTTATTGAAAGTTTATATATGTATTTTATTTTCACACCTCATATCAATTAGTTTCGCTCACTGCTCGGAGTCTGAGATCCTCACACCCATCCAGCTTTCCTTGGGCAGCAAGAAAAGAAATCCAGTTACGTCCAAACCCTTATTCTTAATTATTTTATTGTATGGTTTCCTGTTTGATTTAGGATAGTCCAGTGAGTATATGATCATCCCATCGTTTCTTTTCCTTCAAGTAAGTTTTCATCACCCACCAACCTAAACATTCAATTACAATAAGCTCCAATCTTCAATGGAGACGCACAGCAATCTAAAGACATGGATATCGGATAATTTAATGGCCTTGCTCGGATATTCTAACATCGTAGTTGTTCAGTTCATTATTCGGCTAACTAATGTAGCAACATCACCGGCTGGTGTGGTGGACAAGCTTCTTGATTTTGGGTTTTCCTCATCGAGTGAAATCGGCCCTTTTTCTAAAGAAATCTTCACAAGAGTGCACCGTGAAGCATCAGAGAGGGAAATTGCTAGTTTGGTGAGGAAGCTGCAGAGAACATATGATCACTTGGATGCAGATACCGATGATTATTATGAGTCCATGAAATCGTATTCAAAAAAGAGATGGTACAGGAAGAGGGTGTCGAGTGAAGAAGATGAAGATGAAGAAATGGAAGAAGAGAGACGGGTTAAAAGACGAACTTGGTCAGATGAATGCCAAGATAGTTCAGACTCGGAAGAAGAAAGATTGCGTGATCAAAGGGAGAGGGAGGAATTGGAGAGAAATATAAGGGAAAGGGAAAGGGATGCAGCAGCAGCCACAAGAAAGCTAACAAAGGAAAGGTTAAAACAAAGGGAGGCAGAGGAGGCTTTTTTTAGAACCAATGCTGATGTTGAAGCTTTGAGAAAAGTTTCGAGACAAGTATATTTAAAGAAACTGAAGGAGATCATAGATGATTTAGAAGATATGAACTACTTATTTGAAGGTGTGAAGCTAACGGAAGCAGAAGACAATGAATTAAGGGCATGTTTACGTATCAGTAATGGAGAAACTAAGGAATCGGAGAATTTAGGAATCGGAGAACTACTGAATCGGTATGGGAAGAATCATTCCCATTAAGCTGTTTACTAAACATCTGGAATTAGCAATGGAATGGGATTGATTCCCATTGTTATTGTTTACTAATTTGCATGAATCAGAATCCAAATTAATTTTAGAATTATGGTAAAGTGATAAGGGTATTTTTGGAAGTTATTAAGAGAAAACAGGAATGGGAATCGTATCGACTACTCCCCCCTAGTTGATCTGATTCCTAATTTTGAGGGAATGTGATTACGGATTTTGAGGTGGGGCCCACTTATTTTTTCATTCCTGATTGCAAGTAAACGCAGGAGAAGTCAGGAATGGAAATCATTCCCTTTCCTCTCATTCCCATTACTGATACGTAAACATGCCCTAAGTTACTAGAAGCAAATATTAGAGCTTGTTAAGAAACAGTCAGATCTTGATGAGGCTGAGTTCTCTGTGGCTTTGCAACGCTACAAGGAGCTCAGTGCTTGTGACAAAACGAACTCGTTTTCGGAACAGAAATCTTGGGAGGATCAGCAAATTGGAAGGGCAACACTGATTTTTGGTTCCAAAGACAAAAAAAGATCAATATCTCAGGATGAGTATGAATTTGTGTTTGGAGACCAGATTGAGTTTATCAAGGCTTCAGAGATGGAGAGTACAGATGAGTTTGATGATGTTCGGCAAGTCCAACCCGTGCATATATCCATTTGAGTGTAGGACGAAATCAACCTTGCAGAAGCTGCGGGGGAGAGAAAAACATTACCAGTCTACTCATATCGTGATGAGTTACTCCAAGCAGTTGAAAAACATCAGGTTCTTGTTATTGTTGGTGAAACTGGATCAGGAAAAACTACACAGATACCCAATATCTACATGAGGCTGGATGCACAAAGCGGGGCAAGATTGGGTGCACGCAGCCATGGCGAGTTGCTGCTATTCTCAAGAAATGGGCGTCAAGCTTGGACATGAGGTTGGTAATTCAATTCGTTTTGAGGATTGCACCTCTGAAAAAACTGTTCTGAAATATATGACTGATGGAATGTTGTTGCGTGATCCACTGGTGGATCTTCTTATGAGAGTAAATAGTGGCATGAATGAGTACCTCAGTCGTTCCTTTTTTAAAGCTCTTCAGCCTAATAGCAATTACCTCCGAATTCAGGTAACACAATAAAATTGAGATAAATGTCAAGTGGTCGCTTGTTTGTTTTTATGTTATGTATATGTACGCAGAATCAAAATACATGCACCTAAATTATGTTCAAGACAAACTAAGCATGGAATTGGAAAGGAAATCACAAACTGGAAGTTGCATCAGATTTTTCCTTACTGCAGCTGTGGGATAGTAGCTGGTATGGTGGGTAGCCAACTTGGGTTGGGAGGCGTTTTCATCTTCCTTTTTCTTGAATTGGGAATTCCTCCTTAGGTATAGTTCAACGCAAGACAAAATTCACTCTATTCTTTTTGTCAGTCAGAAAATCTTGTCAAGAAATCCTTGGCAAGAAAAAATCACTGAAGAGGTTTGGATTCAAAATTCCTTGATATCATTGGTTTTGATCCCAAGTCTTCCACTTCCATTTCCAAGTGTTAGTTCTTTCTTATTAATTTTTTCTTTTAACTTGTTAATTTAATCTTAATGTATTCAGTTTAGACATAATTAAAGAACTATATATATGCCATCCTATTTGTCATCCTATTGCTTATCAGTTAAGATTGCAGGGTTCCAAATAAAATGAATGGTACAGCCAGATTTCCTACATGTCATCTCTGATTCTCTGCTGCTTCCATATAAATTCACTAATATATTGATATGAATGGCAATATGCTGAACATTGATATTTAAGTTTTGATGTTCTTCCAAGAATAGGAAAAGGAATGACGCTTACAGCGTTCCCACAACCTTATGAGTAATTGTTATATTCTGTGTCCCTTGAATGATATGTACCAATCCAAAATCTGAAATTTTTGGGTTCATTTGCTCATCCAAGAGAATATTACTGACCTTCAAATCTCTATGAATTACTTTCAAATAAGACTCATGGTGGAGATAAAGAAGCCCTCTAGCGATCCCCTGAATAATATTGAAGCGTCTGCCCCAATCAAGCGCAGGTCTCCGCGCTGGATCTTTTAAATGCAAGCATTCGAAATATAACCAATAGTTTCATTCATATATCCTATCCTATGCATTGAACAATGAAACTGTCCAAGAGAATATTACTGACTTCAAATATCTATGAATTACTTTCAAATAAGACTCATGGTGGAGATAAAGAAGCCCTCTATCGATACCCTGAATAATATTGAAGCGTCTGCCCCAGTCAAGCTCAGGTCTCCATGCTGGATCTTTTAAATGCAAGCATTCGAAATATAACCAATAGTTTCATTCATATATCCTATCCTATGCATTGAACAATGAAATTGTCACTAGATTTTAACGTTTAAATTTCTATACAAAATACTGACGCATTTGTATGAACAATACTGAAACAAGGGTGTAATCAGATTCAAAATTGATTTCAGGTCTAGTTTAACATTGTCTCTTCTACTTTATAAAGAACTGAAACGTACTCGTGCAGTATACAATTCAGTTTACAGTTATGAGCATTAAATCTGCAGGATGTCTTGCTTGACTGTTTGTGTTGCAAATAAATCAGTGATTCTTTGTATCAATCGAAAATAATTTTGATTCTCTGTGCCCAAACATTTAGTTCATCTGAATTCGTTTGTGGCTTTAAGTTAGTAGGCAAATTACAATGATAAAGTCCAGTGAAACTAAGCAAATAGAAGAGTGTCCAAGTTTCTGTTTGGCATGAACTCATAAATCAGTATCTTCTCATCTTCTTTGACGCAGCAGGCCATGATCCTAGCAAGAGTTTTATGTTGGAGCTTGGAGATCAACAATGTCTCATTTTTGAACTCTTCTATGCCCTGCCCTGATCGACTAGATAGTCTTTTTACTGCTATTTCCTTCCCTTCTTGTAGGGTACCTACAAATTAATCACTTCATGTCCTTATCTGTTATTGTAGCTGTGTGATACTATATATTTTCCTTTAGAAAGAGAAAAACAAATAAACAATCACGTCGTAAACTGGACCAAATCCTCCTTCCCCGAGTTTGTTTGTGATGTTGATATTGTTCATTGCGATCAATATGCTATCAAAATTATAGATGAATAGCTCCGATGGATCTTGGTTTATGATATATTCTTGAAGAGTGTCTCTTGAATTCTCCGTAGTATCAATACTCAGAATTCGTGATATACCTGAAATTTTGTGTATTGGATATTTAATTGTTATTTGTTACTTATTAGTGGTTACTTTAGTGATTTTATAATGCAAAATTCATTTAATGTTGTATTTTATGAAGCCCAGGCCCTTCTCTCTTGTCCAGGCCCTTTTCTAAACCCTAAACATAACACGCAACCTCTCGTCTTCTTCAATCTCATCGTCGTCTCTCTCTCTCGCCTCATATCACCATTGTCATCTCGTCCCAGACCTTGGAGTTCCGAAATGACCTTTTCTTTCTTCTAGGCGCCAGCTTCTGCCTAGACCGCCTAGCGCCCGCCTAGACCGCCTAGACCGCCTAGCCCCCGCCTAGCCCCCGCCTAGCCCGCCTAGCGCCCGCCTAGACCGCCTAGCCCCCGCCCAGCCCGCCTAGCGCCCGCCTAGGCCATTTATTCAGATATACGTGACAGTGTGTTCAAGGATTTAACTTTTAAAGAAGATTTCCGAGAATTGGAAAAGAAAGAGATGATGCTTACATTGTTCCTACAACCTTTTGGTTTACTAGCACCATGATTTTAACTGTATCTGAACTTTGTGCAGACATATACTCAAACTTGCTCCACCAGTGAGTTTGATCTCCCTTAAACACCGTAGTTAATGCATCTCCAGCAAGAACACACACACGCATAGAGAGAGAGAGAGAGAGAGAGAGAACATAAAGGGGATATAACTTTTACGTCTAATTTTAGGGTATTTTGACTTTTTCCAATAAGATTTTATGATTCTTCCTTTCATGTTTACTGTTGTGGTATTTTGACTTTGACATATGTATTTTGGTTGTTCGGGAGATCAAGTTTGGTTGGAAAATTGTAGTTAATTGGCTCAATAGTTGGATTCTCTGGTGCAGCATTGGGTAGTGTGGGAGGTGTTGGGGGTGGAGGCAATGCTTGCCTTGATCATTGGTTTGATCCCAAGTCTTCCACTGCCATTTCTAAGTGTCAGTAATCACTACTTTTCCTTTTAATCTTTTCTTTTAACTTGTTAATTTATTCTTAATGTATTCAATTTAGACAGAACTGAAGTACTGTATGCCATCCTATTGGTCATGCAGGTATGATAATGGGTGCTGCAGGTTCAACAGTATACTTCAATTTGAGACTTAGGCACCCAACACTGGACATGCCCCTTTATAGATTATGATCTGGCATTGCTCTTTCAGCCAATGCTCATGCTGGGCATCAGCATAGGAGTTGCCTTCAACGTCATGTTCGCCCACTGGATGGTCACAGTTCTACTTATCATTCTCTTCTTAGGTAATAACATTTTGAACACAAATTCCTCATTTACTTTGAATACTCTGAATAATCTTATAAGATTTTCTTCTGAGTTCTGGCAGTTACAGCAGCAAAAGCTTTAATGAAGGGCATAGAAACATGGAAGAAAGAGACAATGATGAAGAAGGTAAGGTTTTCACTTAACTGTTTCCTGAACTATCAATGAATATGGTCTGTTACCAATCTAATGACAAGGAATTTGAGGTTTCACATCACTTTCAGGAAGCAGAAAAGCAGTTGGAATCAGAGTCCAAACCTTTCGGTGAGGCACTGATAAAGCACTATATATGAAATTAAAAACGAAAACAAAACAAAAAGCACTTTGAAATTAGTCCTTAGTAACATGTTTGATAATGAACAGATTCTTGAGATTGAACTACTGCATCTGCGAAGAAGAACGAACCTATGATGTAGATGGTTGGCTTGCTGCATGGAAGGTGAGTGGCTTCATGTCCATGGAACGCATGTAACTTTAAAACTCTCCAGCCAGCTCTTCCAAAAGACCTTGAACAACAGAAATCTGCCCACCTATTACATTAATCGCGCAGCTATACGCCTTCAAATAATATATTTAAATAGTATAACCGTGAGACTATAATATATGAGGAATTATTATCCCCACAATCTTGATTTCCGAGGCCGAGCATACCCAATGCATCCACTTATTCAAGCTGTTTAGGATCATGATCTGTGACTCATTTTTATATTGTTCTCCTATCATTGGCCATCTTTAATTTTAATACTCATGTGTAAATTGTAATACTCTAATTAGGTAATAATTATATTTGAATATTTGAATTGGGTTATATTAGTTATTGAAATTTGAAGTTTTGTAGCAAGTTGAGCTTTAAGATGGTTTGGTACTCTAGAAAATGAGTTGAGTATGGAGCAAGTTGTGAATTTTTTTTTGCACTTGAGCTAACAATACATATATAAACGGTATAGTCGTGCGGTTAAACTCGTTTTTTTTTTTTTTTTTTTTTTTTTTTTTTTTTTTAAAAGATAGATATTGAGCTGTGCGGATGGTTCTGGAGAAGACTATAAACTGCTACCCAGTGGTCCAGCTTCATTGCCAGATGAGCAGGTAAGTTCCAAGAATATCAGAACTTCTAAGCCTGTATTCTTTTGCAACTTCCTTGTTATCTGCAATTTTTAAGTGGTTTCAGTTTTTGTTTTATTGATATGATGAACAACTCTATCCAGGTGCCTATATCACACAACGACGACAATGTTTACTGGAAGGAGTTATTGATGATTGTGTATGTCTGGGTGGCTTTTCTTATTGTTCAGATTGTTAAGGTAAGTTATTTTACTCTGTAGTTCTGTACAACTAAAGAAGCTTTTCTAGGAACTCATATATTCGCATACCGGACCTTAAAATGCTCTCCAAAAGATACGATCATCACTTGCAATGCAATCAAGTTCCATCTTTCTAATACCTCTGCATTTGCTTCCAAAGCACCATGATTTTAACTTTTGTTACTGAATTATTATTGGGTCCTGAACTCCTTGCAGGTAAAGTTAACAACCAGAGTAGTAAGATTTCTTTCACGGACACTATAGAAACACATAACTATATACACTCAAGCATACATAAAAAGAATGATGTCCAGTTGAACATAAATATTATCATTTCGTAGGTACCATTTGCAGTCTCCGTTACGCTCTTTGAAGCCAAATTCTTATGCAAAGGACCAGGGTGATTGCGTCCAAAGGAAAGGAAATCACAAACTGGAAGTTGCATCAGATTTTTCCGTACTGCAGCTGTGGGATAGTAGCTGGTATGATGGGTAGCCTACTTGGGCTGGGAGGCGGTTTCTTCTTGGGACCCCTTTTTCTTGAATTGGGAATTCCTCCTTAGGTATAGTTCAACGCAAGACAAAATTCACTCTATTCTTTTTGTCAGTCAGAAAATCTTGTCAAGAAATCCTTGGCAAGGAAAAATCACTGAAGAGGTTTGGATTCAAAATTCCTTGATCATTGGTTTTGATCCCAAGTCTTCCACTGCCATTTCCAAGTGTTAGTAATCACCTTTCTTATTAATCTTTTCTTTTAACTTGTTAACTTAATCTTAATGTATTCAGTTTAGACAGAATTAAAGAACTATATGCCATCCTATTGGTCATGCAGGTATGATAATGGGTGCTTCAGTTTCAACTGTATACTTCAATTTGAGGCTTAGGCACCCAACACTGGACATGCCCCTTATAGATTATGATCTGGCATTTCTCTTTCAGCCAATGCTCATGCTGGGCATCAGCATAGGAGTGGCCTTCAACGTCATGTTCGCCGACTGGATGGTTACAGTTCTACTTATTATTCTCTTCTTAGGTAATAACATTTTGACCACAATTTCCTAACTAATTTTTTACTTTGAGAATGAGAACTGAACTGATAAAATGGAATATGTACACAACTAAAAGAAAAGCACATCAAATCTTTATATTTATTGCGCTTAATCGTTCTCTAGAAACTTCAAAACTTGGCATAAAAATGCTTTCAACACCAAACATTTGAACTATTTTTTTATACTTTCAAAGCTTCTACTGGATTGTTTATTAACTTTCCTTGTTCCTTCTGAAAGTCACTATTTCTTGAATTATTTGGAAAAATGTAGGAAAATTTTATAGAATAACCGGCGGCTATAATGGGGGTTTCTAATTTTTTAAAAGAAATAGTATAGCCGCCCGGCTATACTCGGGTTTTCCAAAAAAAATTTAGAAATATTATCGACTCCGTTTTTTTAAAAAGAATTAGTATAGCCTCTCGGCTATACTTGTTTTTTCTAATTTTTTGGAGAATAAATAGTATAGCCGCTTGTCTATACTGGGGTTTTCTATTATTATTTTTTTCAAAACACATAAGATATTTAATTATAATTGATCAATTTACAAAGCACTTTACACATGATTTATGTGTTTTTGCAGGATCATCAACAATTCTCCTTATGTCCTTCATTCTAAAAAACAGGAAGACAATTATGAGGCGACTGTAAACAACGAGTCGAATGAAAGCGATAAACTTTCACTTTTACCATTCCCTTCACGTTTAGGATACTTTTCTCCTAGGTCAGTTAATCAAGGATCTTGTTGAGGGGATATTATGGTTTATATACCTTAGGTTCTTGCCTACGCAATTTCCAATTCATTGACTGGCTATATATACAGTCAGATGTAGTTTATGTTTTTTTTAATAAAAGAAAAAATTATATGTTTTATGATATAGATTATATTTTTATTTGAGGAGGAATATGAATCATATTATAAATGGTGTGGTTTGAAATTTTCTCCATATTGCCTCAACATGTTGTTGTATTAATACTTTAAACCTAAACACAAACTGAAATTTATACAATCTCCTGCCCTGTTCCTTATGCTAGACTCATTGTGACAAATATTTCTCTGAAATTTTTTATTTAAAAAAAAACAAAAAGGTGAACTGTTGTAACTCTAAAAAAGTTATCATGCACTCATACTCCGGAGACATCCCGCCCAAAGCTCAGCCCAGCCTGTCCATTGATATCGAGCTCAACATAACCACCCGGACCTGAGCTCAGCTCGATCATTTGTACTTTAGCCCAGCTCGACCAAGAGGTTTTTTACCTCACAAATAGAAATCCCCCAAGTCCCCAGATGGGAGTTTTGTGTGGGGAATTGCATCTTTTGGACAACTCCTTTTTGGGACCTTGGTTCCCTTTATCCCCACTTACGTTTTGTGAATTTGGTATGCCACCTGCATGCCAAAACTTGTATATGTTGCTTGTGTTTGCCAAATACCAATTGGATCATGTTTGTGAAAAAAATGGGCACATCAATGTGCACCTAAACTGAGGCAAAAATCCAATATAATTGTATGCAATTCCGTGTGCTTGCCAATCTGAAACTTGACCCATGCATATGCAAGACTGACAATTCTAAAACAAACAAGAAACATCAACACGAAATTTCATTCTAGCCAGTATAACAGTAATGTCATTAATACATCCCAATCCCGTGCACTTCACAATGAAAAAATTGACCATCACTAGGTAACAAAGAGTAATGAAACTAACTGAATAGAAGAGGATCCAAGCTTCCGTTTGGCATGAACTCGTAAATTAGTAAATTCTCATCATCCTGGACGGAGCATGCCATGATCCTCACAAGATTTTTATGTTGGAGTTTGGAAATCGACAGCATCTCATTCTTGAACTCTTTTATCCCTTGATCACTTCATTCTCTTACCTTTTTGGTTAGATTGCAGTCTGTGCAAGCTGAACACTATGGCAACCGAGATACTGATAAAACAAATAGCTATGAGGCTGAGCATTAACTTTATTCGTTTTCCTTCACCTGAAACAATGAATTTTTATTACAAGAAGTATGAGACAGAAAAGGAAAAATACTGCTGATTCGAGTTGTGTAAGCAATTTTGTGTATTGGATATTTAATTGTTATTTGTTACTTATTAGTGGTTACTTTAGTGATTTTATAATGCAAAATTCATTTAATGTTGTATTTTATGAAGCCCAGGCCCTTCTCTCCTGTCCAGGCCCTTTTCAAAACCCTAAACATAACACGCAACCTCTCGTCTTCTTCAATCTCATCGTCGTCTCTCTCTCTCGCCTCATATCACCATTGTCATCTCGTCCCAGACCTCGGAGTTCCGAAATGACCTTTTCTTTCTTCTAGGCGCCAGCTGCTGCCTAGACCGCCTAGCGCCCGCCTAGACCGCCTAGCCCCCGCCTAGCGCCCGCCTAGACCGCCTAGACCGCCTAGCCCCCGCCTAGCCCGCCTAGCGCCCGCCTAGCGCCCGCCTAGGCCATTTATTCTGATATACGTGACAGTGTGTTCAAGGATTTAACTTTTAAAGAAGATTTCCGAGAATTGGAAAAGAAAGAGATGATGCTTACATTGTTCCTACAACCTTTTGGTTTACTAGCACCATGATTTTAACTGTATCTGAACTTTGTGCAGACATATACTCAAACTTGCTCCACCAGTGAGTTTGATCTCCCTTAAACACCGTAGTTAATGCATCTCCAGCAAGAACACACACACGCATAGAGAGAGAGAGAGAACATAAAGGGGATATAACTTTTACGTCTAATTTTAGGGTATTTTGACTTTTTCCAATAAGATTTTATGATTCTTTCTTTCATGTTTACTGTTGTGGTATTTTGACTTTGACATATGTATTTTGGTTGTTCAGGAGATCAAGTTTGGTTGGAAAATTGTAGTTAATTGGCTCAATAGTTGGATTCTCTGGTGCAGCATTGGGTAGTGTGGGAGGTGTTGGGGGTGGAGGCAATGCTTGCCTTGATCATTGGTTTTGATCCCAAGTCTTCCACTGCCATTTCTAAGTGTCAGTAATCACTACTTTTCCTTTTAATCTTTTCTTTTAACTTGTTAATTTAATCTTAATGTATTCAATTTAGACAGAACTGAAGAACTGTATGCCATCCTATTGGTCATGCAGGTATGATAATGGGTGCTGCAGGTTCAACAGTATACTTCAATTTGAGCCTTAGGCACCCAACACTGGACATGCCCCTTTATAGATTATGATCTGGCATTGCTCTTTCAGCCAATGCTCATGCTAGGCATCAACATAGGAGTTGCCTTCAACGTCATGTTCGCCAACTGGATGGTCACAGTTCTACTTATATCATTCTCTTCTTAGGTAATAACATTTTGAACACAAATTCCTCATTTACTTTGAATACTCCGAATAATCTTATAAGATATTCTTCTGAGTTCTGGAAGGTACAGCAGCAAAAGCTTTAATAAAGGGCATAGAAACATGGAAGAAAGAGACAATGATGAAGAAGGTAAGGTTTTCACTTAACTATTTCCTGAACTATCAATGAATATGGTCTGTTACCAATCTAATGACAAGGAATTTGAGGTTTCACATGACTTTCAGAAAGCAGAAAAGCAGTTGGAATCAGAGTCCAAACCTGGCGGTGAGTGCACTGATAAAGCACTATGAAATTAAAAACGAAAACAAAACAAAAAGCACTTTGAAATTAATCCTCAGTAACATGTTTGATAATGAACAGATTCTTGAGATTGAACTACTGCATCTGCGAAGAAGAACGAACCTATGATGTAGATGGTTGGCTTGATGCATGGAAGGTGAGTGGCTTCATGTCCATGGAACGTATGTAACTTAAAAACTCTCCAGGCAGCTCTTCCAAAAGACCTTGAACAACAGAAATCTGCCCACCTGTTACATTAATCGTGCAGCTATACGCCTTCAAATAATATATTTAAATAGTATAACCGTGAGACTATAATATATGAGGAATTATTATCCCCACAATCTTGATTTCCGAGGCCGAGCATACCCAATGCATCCACTTATGCAAGTTGTTTAGGATCATGATCTGTTACTCATTTTTATATTGTTCTCCTATCATTGGCCATCTTTAATTGTAATACTCATGTGTAAATTGTAATACTTTAATTAGGTAATAATTATATATGAATATTTGAATTGGGTTATATTAGTTATTGAAATTTGAAGTTTTGTAGCAAGTTGAGCTTTAAGATGGTTTGGTACTCTAGAAAATGAGTTAAGTATGGAGCAAGTTGTGAATTTGTTTTTTGCACTACTTGAGCTAACAATACATATATAAAAGGTATAGCCGCGCGGTTAAACTCGGTTTTTTATTTTTTTTTATAGAGAAATAGTATAGCCGCGCGGCTAAATTCCTTTATCATTGGTTTTGATCCCAAGTCTTCCAGTAATCACCTTTCTTATTAATCTTTTCTTTTAACTTGTTAACTTAATCTTAATGTATTCAGTTTAGACAGAATTAAAGAACTACATGCCATCCTATTGGTCATGCAGGGTATGATAATGGGTGCTTCAGTTTCAACTGTATACTTCAATTTGAGGCTTAGGCACCCAACACTGGACATGCCCTTTATAGATTATGATCTGGCATTTCTCTTTCAGCCAATGCTCGTGCTGGGCATCAGCATAGGAGTTGCCTTCAACGTCATGTTCGCCGACTGGATGGTTACAGTTCTACTTATTATTCTCTTCTTTGGTAATAACATTTTGACCACAATTTCCTAACTAATTTTTACTTTGAGAATGAGAACTGAACTGATAAAATGGAATATGTACACAACTAAAAGAAAAGCACATCAAATCTTTATATTTATTGCGCTTAATCGTTCTCTAGAAACTTCAAAACTTGGCATAAAAATGCTTTCAACACCAAACATTTGAACTATTTTTTTATACTTTCAAAGCTTCTACTGGATTGTTTATTAACTTTCTTTGTTCCTTCTGAAAGTCACTATTTCTTGAATTATTTGGAAAAATGTAGGAAAATTTTATAGAATAACCAACCATTATCCAACTAAAAAAAATTCTCTGTAGTGTCTACAGAATATACACTCCTAATAATCTTATTAGATATTCTTCTGAGTTCTGGCTGATACAACAGCAACAAAAGCTTTAATGAAAGGCATATAAACATGGGAGAAAGAGACAGTGATGAAGGTAAGATTTTCACACAACTATCCGGATCCCCTGGGCTATCAATGAGTAGGGTCTGTTACCAACGTACTAACAAGGAATTTGAGGTTTTGCATGATTTTTAGGAAGCAAAAAAGTAGTTGGAATTGGAGTCCAAACGTGGCGGTGAGTGTATATATAGACCAAGTTTAGAGACTATGCACTAATATGAACTAAAAGAAAACTCTAAAGCGCACATCTCCTTTGTTGCAGATGGTTTCATTGCAAGATGAGCAGGTCAGTTCCAAGTTCTTGGTTATCTGCAATTTTGAAGTTGTTTCAGATTCTGTCTTATTGAATTTGTGAACAACTCTGTCCAAGTACCTATATCACACAACATTTACTGGAAGGAGTTATCGATGCTTGTGTATGTCTCGGTGGCTTTTCTTATTGTTCACATTGTTAAGGTAAGTTATTTTACTGTGTAGTTCTGTATAACTAAAGAAGCTTTTCAAAAGACAAGATCATCACTAGAAATGTAGTCAAGTTCGATCTTTCTAATTCCTCTGCATTTGTAGGAAAATTTTATAGAATAACCGGCGGCTATAATGGGGGTGTCTATTTTTTAAAAGAAATAGTATAGCCGCCCGGCTATACTCGGGTTTTCAACAAAAATTTTTGAAATATTGTCGCCTCCGTTTTTTTAAAAAGAATTAGTATAGCCTCTCGGCTATACTTGGTTTTTCTAATTTTTTGGAGAAGAAATAGTATAGCCGCTTGTCTATACTGGGGTTTTCTATTATTATTTTTTTCAAAACACATAAGATATTTAATTATAATTGATCAATTTACAAAGCACTTTACACATGATTTATGTGTTTTTGCAAGATCATCAACAATTCTCCTTATGTCCTTCATTCTAAAAAACAGGACGACAATTATGAGGCGACTGTAAACGAGTCGAATGAAAGTGATAAACTTTCACTTTTACCATTCCCTTCACGTTTAGGATACTTTTCTCCTAGGTCAGTTAATCAAGGATCTTGTTGAGGGGATATTATGGTTTATATACCTTAGGTTCTTGCCTACGCAATTTCCAATTCATTGACTGGCTATATATATAGTCAGATGTAGTTTATGTTTTTTTTAATAAAAGAAAAAATTATATGTTTTATGATATAGATTATATTTTTATTTGAGGAGGAATATGAATCATATTATAAATGGTGTGGTTTGAAATTTTCTCCATATTGCCTCAACATGTTGTTGTATTAATACTTTAAACCAAAACACAAACTGAAATTTATACAATCTCCTGCCCTGTTCCTTATGCTAGACTCATTGTGACAAATATTTCTCTGAAATTTTTTATTTAAAAAAAAAAAAAACAAAAAGGTGAACAGTTGTAACTCTAAAAAAGTTATCATGCACTCATACTCCGGAGACATCCCGCCCAAAGCTCAGCCCAGCCTGTCCATTGATATCGAGCTCAACCTAACCACCTGGACCTGAGCTCAGCTCGATCATTTGTACTTTAGCCCAGTTCGACCAAGAGGTATTTTACCTCACAAATAGAAATCCCCCAAGTCCCCAGATGGGAGTTTTGTGTGGGGAATTGCATCTTTTGGACAACTCCTTTTTGGGACCCTTGCTCCCTTTATCCCCACTTACGTTTTGTGAATTTGGTATGCCACCTGCATGCCAAAACTTGTATATGTTGCTTGTGTTTGTTATACCAAATACCAATTGGATCATGTTTGTGAAAAAAATGGGCACATCAATGTGCACCTAAACTGAGGCAAAAATCCAATATAATTGTATGCAATTCCGTGTGCTTGCCAATCTGAAACTTGACCCTTGCATATGCAAGACTGACAATTCTAAAACAAACAAGAAACATCAACACGAAATTTCATTCTAGCGAGTATAACCAAAATTATTGAAAAATATAACTAAATCTTATTGCCATCAGTTTTCTGAAATTAAATTACCCCTATTGCCATGCTGGGAAAGAATATAACCTAAAGAAGACAATTGAAAAAACAAAAGCCATTGAATAAAAAGAACATCTTGAAGAGTAGTGTCTAGTTACCATGGTGGTCTCTCTGTTTAGAACAAGAGTTTCAACCTTGTTTATACTGCAGAGAACCTCAGACAATATTTTAAAGCAACGGCGATTAGATTCCAGAAAAAACTCGGCTTTTTCTAAAGACGTAGATTTCCCCAAACTTTGGCCAATCCATACATCATCCCCTGACAATTTCAAATACTTAAGATTTGGAGCAAAATTATTGACCAAATTCTTGACACAGTTATGAAGATCCAAGTGAACAAGTATGTCTTCAAGTTTTTCAGCTGAGATGCTAAGGATAAGGTCAATATACACAGGGGAATCAAGCACAAAACTAAAAGATTTCAAAGAGGAGCTTTCAATGGTGATCTGATTTATTCCAAAAATATCTTCAAGATGTAACTCCTTGATGCACTTACATGAACATAAGATCCATTTGAAAAACCCCTCATCTTCTATGAAAACATCATCCAACTTCAAGTATTTCAGTCAATCGCAGTGTTTGAAAAATCGGCCTAGGTGGTCGCTAGGCGGCTGGGCGGTCGCTAGGCGGTTGCTAGGCGGCTAGGCGGTCACTAGGCGTCTAGGTAGTAGCTAGGCCGGAGCTAGGCGGCTGGGCGGGCGCCTAGGCGGGTTGGCTCTTTTTCCGGTGCCGAACCCGGAGGTCGAAGCAGTGACCGCGAGTGCAAGTTCCGTCCTCTGCGAGTGCAAGCTTTTGGAATATATTTAAAGATTATAGCCGCTCGGCTATACCTTTAAAATATTCGAATGTATTTAAAAAGTATAGCCGAACGGCTATACGTTTAAAATATTAGAACATATTTGAAGCGTATAGCCGCTCGGCTATACCCTTTCGATATACAATTTTGTTGTATTATTTTAGGGTTTAGGGCTAAAATACCAAAAACATGAGAAGAAAGCTCCAATTGCACATCATATCTCATTGAAAAAGCAACAAATTACTGTCCAACTTCTTAAATTACCGTGACAAGAAGATGAACTAGGTTTGCACAATGCTAGAGGATAGTGATGGCTCCCTTTAGAAGGTATAAGGTAGTTCTTTGTTAATAAGTTATAAAAATATGGAATGCAAAGTTTTTCACCATATAAAATCAGATTTACCTCGATACAGTCATATCGATGGATAATGCCAAGTATATTAAGCAGCTGCCTTTTTTGTACTCAAGTATTCTCTTTGTCTGCACATCAAACATTGCATCTAAACTAACCTGCACTTGAAAGTGATAAATTTCAGTGTAATCTATTAGACATACTATGGAGAGCTGACTAAAGTTGGTAGACGGATGGCAGAGTTTCCTCTTGATCCAATGCTATCTAAGATGATTGTTGCTTCCGACAAATGTAAGTGCTCGGATGAGGTTATTTCCATCGCTGCTACGCTTTCTGTTGGTAATTCAATTTTTCACTGTCCAAAGGAAAAACAAGTCCACACTGACAATACGCAACTGAATTTTCAAACTGGGAACGTGGGAGATCACATTGCCTTGCTTAATATTTACAACACATGGAAAGATGTAAATTACTCAACACAATGGTGCTACGAAAATTTTGTACAGGTTAGGAGCATGAAAAGAGCAAGAGACATCCGGGATCAACTTGAGCGGCTCCTGGAGAGGGTTGAGATTGAAATAACCTCAAATCCTGCTGATTTAGTGTCGATAAAGAAGGCCATTGCCTCAGGTTTCTTCCCTCATGTGGCAAGGTTGCTTAAAAATGCATGTTACAGAAGAATCAAACATCCAGAGACTGCCTACTTACACCCCAGCTCAGGGCTAGCACAAGTGTCTCCGAAATGCGTTTTATACCATGAAATTGTGCTCACAGCAAAAGAATATATGAGGAATGTAACGGAGACAGAGCCGAAGTGGTTGGCACAAATAGCTCCACATTATTACCAGCTAAAGGATGTTAAGGATTCTGAATCAAAGAAGATGCCTCGCTGCCAAACCACTTCAACTGAATACTGTATTTAGAAGAAAATTGTGTATTCTAATGTTTAGGTTTAGAATGTATAGATTCGAATGTATGATAATGCTCACGAAATCCTTTCTGTTTATTTTTGCTTAAAAACTAACTTCTAGAAATTTAATGTTTTCTTTCATGTGTCATTTGCAACATCACGCACTCCGTTTTAACCTTCTTTCTTGAAAGTTTAACAAATAGGCAGCTCGGCCATCAGACTCACTTTTAGATATCAGTACGATTTCCTCCAGACGGAAAAGAAATTTCAAGCAAGAGAGAGAGAGAGAGAGAGAGAGAGAGAGAGAAAGAGAGATTAAAAGGTAACCAGAAAACCAAATCACTTAAACCAAAAAGTACATTACTGATGCTGAATATTTAGCCAAACAAAAATACACCAAACTACTGAAACAAGTCTTTAGTCTCTCAAGGTTTTTGCCAAAAAGCTTATAAAACTCTTTTTTCTGCCTATTGAATAGATTACTTAGAACACACATTAATGGATCAATCATCCTCTTCAATGACCTTGGTGCCCAACCCACTCAGTCCTTCAGCTGGGATCTCTGCAACGGTAACAAGCGAGTAAAGCTCTTCCTTGGCATCTTCATCATCATTCCTCTTGCGAGCAATGCGAACCCTAATCCTTCTTGGGACGCTCCTGATTCCTCTGCTCCAGATCTGCTTGTTCAGCTTCACATCCACCCTAACGTCATTTGTCCCCATTGCTTTCTGAGCGAACTTCCTGATCTCCTTTATGGCATTAGGAGCCTTCTTCTTGAATGTGCTGTTATGTGAATGGCAGTGCATAAGAAAGTTACTTGCATGCTTTTCCAAAGCTATTACAGAATTCAATTGATATTGTAGTTCAAGTATTACATGTTGTGCTAGTATTACAAACTTCACAACAAATACAGACACTGCAAAAATTTCACAACAATGTTTGTAGGTGCAAAGGCAACAGTAAATTGAAGGTATTATGTGGAAAGCTATATCTGGTTCAATTACCATGTACAAGGTAACAAACAAAGCAACATTCAAGGAAATAAAAACTTATATGAAACTTCCTGTCACCCCAGACCTTTAAACGCCATCCACATCTGAGACAGTGATCCTCCTATGACTTCAATAGTCATCCACCTCTGCAAAAACTTATACTAACTCCATAGAACAGCCCTACAATCCAATACTAAAGCGCACCCCAGCCACCCCCCTCTAGTAGTCTCACCATAAAAAAGGCACCCTAATCCATACACCCAGGAAAACCTGACCATTTCCACCTGAAAACTCTAATTTTAATAATACTCAATCTATAATCACATTGAACAATGACAGCCATCGCCCATTTCCCTGATCCCAATCGAAGTGCCTGCAAGATGTTGCAACCTCGCAAGAAGAACCAGCCCGCCAATTTTGTTAACTAAGATCCGCATTATACCTTTTCTCTGTTCCTGATTTCTCTTTTGACACAATTATATCTTTCTAGTCAAATAACTTAACAGATTTACGTTGGCCATTAAAGCTAAACAAATAAACCCCGCTTGGGTGTAAGTTGAAATTACTCGCTACTGATTTCATAGAAGCAAAGGTGCTCTCCGACAATCCAGAAACCCATAACCATATATGAAGCTCAATTCTAAATCAAACTCAGGAAACAGACCAATATGAGGCTAGCCAAACAATATGATGAGCAAAACAAGCAGCCACAATCAAACGTTTATAATAAAAATAGCTACAAAACATAAAAGAGAGCATAATATATTACCAGCCATGGAGGCGCTTGTGGAGATTGATGGTATACTCTCTGGTCACCACCTCCTCCTTCCTTCCCTTTGTCTTCTCAACCATTTTCACACCCTCCTTCTACAACTGTACCTGCACTGAAATCCCCTCACTTTAGAATCTCCACAACTTAAATATCCAATCTTTAAAAGAAATCGTCCTAGCTTTCAACAATAGGGAACCAAAAAACAAAAGGCATAGATCCAATTCGAAAGATTTTTTCTTTTGTTTACATCGATTTCTCAGCGACCAGACAGAGAGTGAACAACTTAAGCTTTAGAAGAACAACTCCATACGAGGGAAAATGTGCGAAAGAGAGAGAGAGAGAGAGAGAGACTAACCTTAGGGCTTGAAGTGAGGCAGAAAGAGAGAGACGAAAGAGAGAGGCGCTGGGAGATCAACTAAAAAAGGAGCGGAAAACCCTAGCTTCCACACCGTTATAAGGCTCTATCAGAGTTAGACGACATGTCGCTTGTTAATGCGTTTTGTTGTCATGAACGTCGTGTCCTCTTACATTTTTCTCACGGATGACACTTAAATTAACCAATTGGAGATGGTAATAATTATCTGGCAAAAAAAATTAGAGATGGATAAAAAGTCGTTCTAGAAAAAAAAATTGAAAATTGAAAAAAAAAAAAAAAAAAAAAAAAAAAAGCCACCTTTTGCTTTTAAATTTGTGTTCGGGTTTCTTCTTTTGTTACAACTCATTGAAACTTTGTTTCCTCTTTTTTTTTTCTTCTTTCTTTTTCTTTTCTGCAAAAGCAAGGCATGAAAGAACATCTCAGTAATGAACGCATATATGTAGACAACAACAAATGAATTTTATGGGTTAAATTTTTAAATAATCCAAAATTGTTCTCACTAATTGGACAAGACAGAATCATTTCATTTTAAAAGGGCAAAGACAAATACGAAAAACAATAGTCTATTAAAATGCAAATCATTATAAAACAAAACGAAAAAAGAACGAAAACAAAAGTCCATATCCAACAAAAATTCTCTATATAGTGTGTATAAAATAAAAAATACAGAAAGCCTATTGACACCGGCGTGGCCGCAGGTCGAGAGGCTAGTGTTTATAAACCGAAATGTCTACTCCCGATAATATATTACTGGATAGATAGTATTACTAAATAAATGTTATGGAGCTACAAAGGAGAAATACACATTCATGTTACAAGCCTCGAATGGGGCCAAATAAATTTGTATTTGCTTCCATCTTAGTATCTTACCCTCTGTATAAATTCTGGTTCTACAGAAATTCAGCTATTATTGAGCTTATATGTACCCCTCAAATCATTGAGCATTGAAAAAAAGAACCGTCCTAAACTTATTACCGGAACCTTGGCGCTTTTCATGTATCTAGAGCTCTGTTATGTCAATGTCACCTACGATTTTAGGGTCTTCTTGAATATCTCCACAAGCTAAAAGCCAAAACTGTGAGACCAGCAATGCCAGCCAAAATCTGTTACAACCAGCAAAACTAATTTGTTATACAGCTGCTCTAAAGTTTACGAATAATTTGAGATAATTCATTCAAGGACAAATTTGAATAGAACTCACCTTCGCATGTCTTCCGTAACTGGTTTCAGTAGATTGAAAGAATGATCTTAGTGACTTAAAGTGAGATGTACGGGGCATCAAGATCACTACAGTGTACTGTTTTTTGCAAGGAAAAGGCAGTATCTTTTGTAGTGCCAACTGTGCGGTTACTGGTGTCAAAGATTGTCTGACTTTGGACCGGCCTTCTTCTTGAATCTGCGATATACGTTTAATAGTCGTTTGAGTATTTGAATGCATACTACCTCAAACTTTTTGTTGCAATAAATAATTTCCTTCGAATGGAAGCTAGGAAAGGTTTCTGTTTCAAGGAACTACTGTATCCATGACAATTCCTTCTACCCTAAGACGTCACTTGAGAACATTAAACTCCAAATCAAACTGGAACCACTACCCATTCACCGGGAATTGAGCAATTTAGAGACACAAATTTAAGCTAACAAAAATGCAGGGGCAGTAGGCAAGTAAGATTACAGCAACCAACCTCAAAACAAGTGCCAACATCACCTGAGTAGACCCTTGACTGGTAGCTGTGCAAAATCCTGTCCAACCAGTAGTAATTCTCCTGAAAGAGTGGGAAATCAGAAACAGAAATCAAGTGGTTTACAATTACATCCATTTCATTCATCTCTAAGATCCAGGAAACTTTATGCACTAAGTGATCATCAGGAACAATTGAGTTGAACATTTGATGTCCTACAATTTGGGGTAGAATGATGTTTAACCGACCAAAATGAACCCTATTGTAACAAGAAAACTTACTTGAAGTCCATTTTCATGGGCTCTTTGCTCAATTTCAAGGATGGTTGAGACATCCTCGTCTGACGGCCCTTCCTCTTGAAGACGTGAAATTTCATCCAAAGTAAGATCGACCTGTTATACGGTATCAAATAGCTGGTTCACCAACCATTCAATTAATAAATAAAAAATAGAAACCTGTCAAGCTACAAAAGCACCAACCAGCTTTGAGGAGATTTCTGGATCACAAGAAAAGTTTATGCTTATATCACCACGAACATTTGCAGTTCTGGAAGGCTTATTACCACCAAGAAATACAGAAACACCTACAGTGTAGATCTATTGCATAGAGGTAATTAAAGAAGAACTGAACCAAAGATGAAGGTGATTAATAGAACTAAAACAATTAAGACACATGCATACCTGTCCATGCTTGAACCGGAGAACCTGCATGATTTTTGTTTCAAGAAGTTTGCTCAGGAACCCAATAACGTGAATATCTTCTACCTGTCGTTTAATTGTTTTTCCCCAGATATAAATCATCAGTCAAATTGAAATCGTGAAAGGTCATTGCATCATGATCTGTCACATGCTTCGTAACATAGGAAAGGAGCACACACCATGGTTCCATTGTTCAGTTCCACAGGGAAACACAGCTGGACAGAACATTGTTCTTCCACCATTGGGCTGCGAACAACTTCTCTGCAAGCACGTCCAGTCAAGTGTATTAGAAGGGATTTGGAGCAATAAAAGGAAGTAGGTGTTCAGATATGCACTAACATGTCCAAGGAGTAAAATGAGAAACTTTAGTAGCCTCTTAGATTTAAGACAAGAGCAGGAATGACAATATTCAAAGATCCAATAAATTGGGTGGCCGAGGCAAGGGAGAGCAGGGATGCTGCTTAATCAAACCCTTATCAAATAACGGTATTTTTTGTTTGGGAAAAAAAAGGTCAGCTTGAACAATTAGTCCAACTGAAAGCATCCAACCCCATGTAAGTATTGATATTATATTATTATTTCTTATTTGTAACACCTTCTACCACTAACATAAATACAATGTGCTATTGCTGCATATGGATTTGTGCTCTATTCTACCTTATTCTGGTTTTAGGAAAAGTGAATGGTAGTCCCTTGAGATCATCACGATTATATTGCAGGAGAGGTTCAGGGGGGTTTGGTATTCCACCCTGCATGGTAAATCACATACCTGTGAGGACATATAATATAATCCAGGTGTAAGTAGACTCGAGAGGAAGTTTTACTTACCAAATACTGCAATATAAGAGGAAGTGCTATAGAGGGATCAATGTTCCCAACAATAACAATGGAGAAAGTTGATGGATCCTTGAAACATTTGTTGAAATATTCACAGGCTTTCAATGGATCAACCTTCCGAAGATCACTTATTCTAATAGGCTGCAAAATATATAATTAACCCAGAATTATAACTAGAACAAACCACATGAATGAAAACTACAATGAACTCAGAATGGGCATCGTACTCTAAAGAAATAGGAGTTTCCATAGTTGAGCTCCTTCACACGGTTTGCAAATGCAGTGTAAGGATCCCTGTCTTGAGCACGGACCACTTCTTCTGCCATTTGCATCACTATTTTGACATCTTCTTCTCCTGGTGTTACATTTGTCGTAAATAGTTGATAGACAAGCTGCCAGCACAAACATTGCAAAAGCTTTGTAACTTAAGAAAACCTTGCAAAAACATGACAAATAAAGAGAACTATGGGATAAAGAGAAACCATTAATTTTTTTTTAATATTTTAAATTTCCATCCTACAACACTTCGTTAACATTGTGATGAACATACCTGCAAAGCAGTTTCCAAGTCTGAGGGTGAACAATCACCAGAAAAGGTTCTCATATATGCTCCAAGTTTTGTGCTGACTTCTGCTCTCTTACCAGCAAGCATATCCATAAGAACTGAAGGTCTATAACCATATACGCCAATTTCTCCTGCAATGGTTGGTCCCATTGAGCAAGAAAAGTACTCGCTTTCAGGAAGTTCGGATAAACCCCCATATGAGAACCCTGTAAAGATAACCTATCAAAACAAAGTGTCGATAAGAATTACAAACCAACTAAATTACTAGACATACTATACAACAACTCTCAGATCTTTGGTACTACCATACATGAGAACAGAAAGCCATTATATGAGATGGAAAATTTCTCTCCTAATAACTGGAAAGGAACAATATCATATATAATAGTTCTTTTAGCCTAGAATTAATAAACGTTCATTTCATGCATTGGAAATAGAATTTCTTCCTTTCTGTTTCACCCCTAGTTCTAATGACTACAGATCAATTAGAATGATGAATGTCATCTTATGTTCATAACTTTAACTACAAAAAAACAAGTGACATATTGACAGAGCTTTAGAGCTAAACTCATATAATGAGATCCACACAGTTTTTCCCCAGACATTGAACTACAGATATTGCATTGCTTTCACAGAGTTCCACCTGGTCATCAAGGAAGTTTGTACACTTATAGCAAACTCTCATGCCGTTTGATAGAACTAACTCAGTAACTCCAATTTTTGAATATTCCAACTCCTGCACTATATTCCTGAAACAAATAATTTAGAAAGGCTAAGAATACTGAGATATCAGAAAACGGTTTAAGAGAATTCATAGAGCTGATGATAAATGTAGAATACATAAGAATATAAACTCCCAACAGAAAATGAAACAATTTTATGCCCTTATCGAATACAAGCAAGCAAAAAACAAGGTTTGCTGCAGAGAAGAGATTCTCATGTGAACTAGAAAACACAAGCACACACAAAGGGGAAAGAACAAAGCAGAAATAAAACCGATATGGTGATATGCATTTCTAAGAAGTTAAGGTCCAAAATTACCCAGGATTAGGTTTTGTATTAACAATTTCCTCTGGAATCTGTTCATCATCCCAAGGAGAAATGATTCTTTTTTCCTCAAGATCATTGATCATTGATACAACATTTTTTAGATCACCTATTGTTGCAGAAGCTCGTGGCTCAATTGTCTTAATGACACAGCTGCATGATGTTTGTAACTTTACTGCATATTTGGATATCTCTGCTGCGGTTATCTCTACAGGTGTAAAAGTCATGGTGAGAAGAGCCATACATTTGTTATATAATAAATCAGATCATTACATGTAGATATGCAATGACTCACGAGGTAGAAGAGTCTTCTGGAGTTGAGCTTCATATTCAATCCCAATAACAGGTTCATCGCGGAGAAAATGCTACCCAAAGGAACATAAAGGCAAAACATTTTTCCAAATCAATACAAACGTCATATTATAAATTGAAGGTTTACAAGAAATCTACAATTTGGAAATACTTGTAAATATTCATCTCGCAAGCTAGTTGATTGCATTTGATCACGCTCCAAATAGGCAGATTCAATCTCTGACATCAGTAAAGCTCGAACAATAGACACTTCTCGTTCTGAAAACCCATGTAATTGTACCCTTGCAACCTGAAGGTAAAGTGCCATTATAATTAGTTCCAAATTAAAAACAAAACAAGTAGAGTTTTTGTATAGGATGAAAAACATGCCTCAGTCAGCATTGATTCTAGGGCCTCAATAGTCCCTTTTTCTTTACAGGATGAAGTCATTATATAAGCCTTCAATGGATTAACAAGAACATCTGCGGAAGCTGAGCATGAGAAATAGGGGGGGTCCTTCCTACGAGCTATCTTAAAGAACCTCTGGTTTAGGGCATAAAGGAACATGGACTCTGCCAGCAAATCCCTATAGTCCCTCACTGTATTCAGCTCACCAGCTGCCATCTTATAGCTAATAATTACTGCAGACTGTCACAAGCAAATTTCAATGTTAAAACTGAAAATTCCACGTATATCACTTGCACGTCCATGAATGTGCAGATCAATTGGTACAAACAAGATTGAGATTTATTTCTGTACTAACCCCAGTAGCTTCAGATTCAACAAAACATGAAAAACGTGGCTCTTCATGAGATGGAACTGTATATCTTGGTATAAGAGGCTGCTCAGGTGATGAAATTTTATGTCCGAAATGATTCTTTATCAACTCAACTACACTCTGAGAGAGAGAGAGAGAGAGGAGAGAGGAGAGAGAGAGAGAGAGAGATTTTAAGGCATCTTGACTACGAAACAACTCTTATAATTCCAATATGAACATTAACATGTTGACAATGCCAAACCTGGGTATCAGAGAAATCTCCAACAGCTATCACTGCCATGTTGCTTAAATGGTACCACTTACTATAGAATTGCTTCACAGTCTCAGAAGAAACAGTTCGAATCACCTTCTCTAATCCAATCGGTAAGCGGTCAGCATACTGCAATGAAAAGAAGGTTCTTTTATTTTGGTCAAAACAAAAGAGGGGTCTAAGAATAACATAAGATTGACAAAAAAATTCAAAATTAGGACTACAAGTTTACCTAGGTCTTAGACTTCAGCACACATAGCAGAGAAAATTAAAAAAACTTCAATTCATGTACTTTAGCTTAGCAACATCCTTCTACTTAATATAACATTAAAGAAATTATGTAAAACTAGTTCCAAGTTCCAACCCTCTGTGGTTATATGTGTGCATGGTACATTGTTCTATCATGGACCCCTAAATCTAAGACTCAATTGCATAGTCAGAATGTTGTAGGAGGCGCATAAAAACATTACAGTTGATGGTTCATCAAAGAATAAAAAAGTCTCCTGATCAAGTTATTCAGGGATTATAAGCTTCATAGTAGCAGTACCTGTGAACCTTCCATCATCAGAATCCAATGTGCATCCTGCATCCTTCCTGTAGCATTCCGGTTCCCTCTGTATTCTTCCATAACTGCACCTCTTTCTCTTTCTAGATCATCTTTTGAGACACGAACCTGCACATTGCATGTAATTAAACCAGAGAGTAAAAATTGTGGAGAATTACCGAACAAGGTAAACTTTGTTTATACCTCAGAACTGAATTCAGCCAAGACTGAAATGGCCTGAGATAACAGTTCATGCTTATCAACAGGAACAAACAACTCGTAAACAGTGTCGTCGGCAGATGTCACTGCATTCTGACAAGCGCCAAATTCTGCCCCAATACTCTCAAGAAATCTGATTATATCATGATTTGTGTATTTCTCAGTTGCACTGAAAGCAAGATGCTCAACTATGTGAGCAACTCCTCGTTCGTCCTCCTCTTCCAAAACTGATCTGCCATGAACCCAATAATATAACAATCCTTTATAAATTCAGGGATATATACATATATGAAAGGTTTGAACCTATTTATCAAGTCAATGAGATAAAATGCTAACTCTACATATGATATAACTTTCCAACTCAAGCACATAATATATTGTTTTGTCATTATGTGCATTTCAATTCCATGTTATTCAATTTCAGTTATTTAATCATCCCAATTGGGGATGGAAAAATCTTTCCTCTTCCTTTACTCACTGCATTGTTCGGTTTCAGCAAGTATAATTGATATTCAGTTCATTGCCTTGTGGATCAAATTACATTATCAGAATCCCAGAGTATAATAGCAAATGGCAGTTCCCCCACCAAGTTCACCAAAACCCACAGTGAAAGAAACCACTAAATTAAGCACAGAAACACAATTGCCCATGTAACACCAATCAACGACCAAATGCACAGAAGCAATAAAGATAAAGAAAAACAAACCCAATTATAAACAAAAAAGAAGTTGTACCCGACTTTGACAGCAAGAGCGAGCGCTGCTCTCATTCTGGGCTTAGAATTACAACGAACATAGTAACATAGACCATTGTCAAGCCTGCCATAGTCAACTTCAACAGGTAGTTCCCCAAGCACTTGGTCCATGTCTACGTTCACCAGCTTCAATGACCTGAACCCATGTTTCTTCTTCACTGTCTTTGAGGTCTCTGCCGGAAGCAAATCCATATCTGTGTCTCCCTCTTCAAATTGGGAAATTGGACTCACTTAAAAGTTTCAGTCTTTCAGATTTCAGTTATTTGTTGGCAAAGAAATAATCTTTATAATAATAACACCATAATAGTGTTTGTCAAGACTCAAAAAAAAACACGAAGGCTACGAACTGCTACTTCTGTGTCGTCTTTTTACAATTCGAGAGCTCTCAGCTTTGACTGTGATGCCATCAGACCTTGCACACCATGATCTTGCCACGTCAGCGTTCACATCTTGGGCCTGAGCCCATTAGGAACAAACTTGGGCCCTTTCTTTTCCCTCTAAAGAAGAAGAACTTGGACTTTTACGGCTCCACAGTACCCAAATTGATATTCTCCTCTTCGGCGTCTTTCACTCTTGAGCTAAGCTGCGTTCTACTTTCATCACCGCAGTCTACGGAGGCGCACGTTAAGGTGCTCAAGAGAGACGCCTTTGCTAAAAGACGACGGTATTTAAGAAACCATGCCTATCCTGCACACCTGCGCCCCTGTTCTTCAAAGTCCCAACACTTCCTTATCCTTATTTCCCAGCAGCACAAGCCGCTTCCCGACATTTTGTACAGTTAAGCTTCCATTTCGGAGCTTTTATGCACAGCCGGGCCAGCCCAGGAAGTTTGTGTTTGTGGCTAAAGCGGGTCGAGGCCTAAAGCTGAAGACAGAAAAAGTGAGTGAAGGAGAAGACGATAAAGAACATGACTTTATTGATATAGAGGCTGAAGTTGAAGCTGAATCTGAAGACAGATTTTCAGGCCGAGGTGGGTTCACAGGGAGAGAGGAAGAAAAGGACTTTGATCGAGACCCTGAGTTTGCTGAAATTATGGGTGCTTGTCTTGATGACCCACAAAAGGCTAGGTCCAAGGTAAACCTTTATTTTTGGTGGTTTTATTTTAAGGTTTAAGGAGTTTTTATGTGTGAGCATTGACAGAGGTTTAACCAAATTGCAGATGGAAGATAGGTTGAGGAAGAAAAGGAACAAGATATTGCACACAAAGTCTGGTTCAGGTGTACCCATGAATGTGACATTCAACAAGTAAGTTCAGATGGTGTTGGAACAGAAAGGAATTTGTCAGTGTGGGTTTTGGTCCATTTTCTAGCTTGTACATGCTGGGGATGCTTAATATAAACAAATGATCTTGTGCTAATTATTTCCAGAGGTTGTTCTTGTATGCAAATTGTGTAAACTACCATTTTTTTATTTTTTTTATTTTTTTATGGTTAAATAACTGTCTTTTTTAAATTTCACTGATGAAACAAGATCATCAAGTGCATTTGTTTACTAACTTAGTCTTGGCTTCTGGCACAACTAGCTTTGGTTTCTCAAACTCATATATATGGTTTGAATTCTACAACACTCCATTGGAACAAGATGTTTCCTTAATCTCTGATGTAAGTACCTTATCCTCTTCTTGAAAATACGTTCTTTGTAATATATCATCAAGTAACTCAGTTGATCTGGTGTCTACAGACCATTCGATCATGGCACATCATTGGACGCATGGGTGGATGCAATTCCATGAATATGCAAGTAAATTTTCAATTACCCTATAAATTTCCGTTTGAAACTTGGTGAGAGCCGATCGGCCATAGAAATATCATACATGACTTCATATCAAGTTTATATACTGGAAAACAAAATGCAAGTTTTTGAGCCATAAATCCCCACCTGCTTTGATCTCATTCATGCAGTTGTCACAATCTCCTTTGGATAAAAGACCGAGTTATGATGCCATTCAGGGAGCAAATGTAACACCAACTACATTTTACAATATTGGAGATCTTGAGATTCAAGACAACTTAGCACGTGTTTGGTATGAGCTCAACTTGAATTTCATGATTTGGGACTTTATGGTGATGCTTAGTTAAATGCTGATGCTTTTTTGTAATTGGGAGGAATGGAAGTGTAGATGGTTCTTGCTCACCAATCTGATAAATTTTTTGACAGGGTGGATATTGGCACCAGTGAACCATTGCTACTGGATGTTCTAATAAATGCATTGACTCAGATAAGCTCCGAGTGCGGCTCTCAAATTCCCATATCTTCTACTGGATGTTGCTTGTTTAATGCCTTGGCCTAGATTCATTTGGAAGCTTCTTATTTCGTATATTTATTCTAACTCTTATTACTTGATGTCTGTTAAACAGCTTTGTTGGAATCAAGCAAGTGGTGTTTGGTGGGTCTGAATTTGAAAACTGGAAGGAGAACTTGACATCAGAGGATGCAGGTTACAGTGTTCACAACATTTAGCCAATTTGGTGTGCACCCAAGATTTATATATTATGCTCAACGTCTGAAGATTGAAGGTCTCAGACTGGGTACAAAGAACGGTCAAGATTAGAGATGCTGGCGTAAAGCCAAATCAATGATAAATTTCGGGTCCTGTACCTCATGTTTTGATCCTAAGAGATGTATATGGACTACTGCTGAAGGGGGAATATAGGGGAACTAAAATGGGAGTCATTTTCAACCCAGTAATTTAGCATGCAAAGGATCTCCTAATTTTCCCATTAATGAGTATATATCTTGTGCAAGTTTTTGTTCCAATATACGATACTTTACTTTGTACCAAACAGTTATTACCTAAATTGACAAAGTGGATGTGAAAAAAGCAGGTGACTTGTTTTGTATTTGTAAACACGGATCCCATAACTTGATGCAAAATTGAAATAAAAATGCAAGTTACAGAGAATGAAAACGACACTAACATGTTAAAGGTGGCGTTAGCTGCTCAATTTCATTAGAAGTAACAAAGTTCTGCAAATATTCGAATAACAAAAGCTAGGATGCAAGCATAGAGCTCAAAGATTTACAGATAAGCCTCCGATATTCCAACCCACAAACCACTTTCACCCTACAAATTGCATCAATCGGTAAAGTACAAGGGCGTCGCCAAAATTGAAGTCCTTTATGATGCCTCAGCAATGATAGAGAGCTGCACAGACACTTTCTCAGCTATTGATTTGATCTCTTTCACTCTCTCATCAACTAACTGCTGGAGTTGCTCCTCCTGATTTGGTTGATTCTCATCTATCTGAACAGTACTAGCAGCTTCACCAGCTTGTGACCTGAACATCACAAATGACATCTCGGGTTCATAATTGCTTGGAACTTCAATCACTTGCTTCCCACCAGTCCCAGAATCTTTTCCGATAAGATCTTCCTTCATGCGATTAGAAATAATTCCCACAAAATCATCCATATACCTGTCCACATGATCAAGGCCAAGATAAAGGAAAACCTCCCAACACTGAAGAAACTGTTTCTTGTTGATTTTCAAACTTTTCCGGACATCCTCAATGACTCTAGTGTCTGGCATGAGTCGAGGAGTGTGTGTCTTCTTCGACAATTTTCCTTGTTTTAGTTGCGAAACTGCTGAGCTGACTGCATGCTTGATTGGATCGAACTTATGAAGGCGCAGTACATCAACACAAGTGCGTACATGTTGAAAGTAATCCAATGGTTCTTCAACTGTGAGGTCATAGACGTTTTCAGATATTGCACCATCATTGAGAACCTCAAGAAGGTATCGTCCATAACCCTTGTGTTGATAAGGAGGCAATACCAATATCTGCCATCAACAAGGAAGCTTGTTAAAACTCAACAGCACCAAGATTGCACAAAAAATGAAATTTATTTGAACTACGGAAGCACCAAGCTGTTTCTCTAGAGTATGCATAACTAGCAACTGATATATACAAGGAGCAAACCTGACCAATCCGCAACCGAGAACTATCAGGATAATGGTAAAAACTGTAAAACCAAGCAACATATTGTAGATTTCCCCCTGCTGATCTGTTTTCCTCTGGATCAGGACATACAACTCCCAGCTTGGATCCACAACATCAATTGGACTGCTACCTAATTCAAAAAACAACAATTGATGTCATATTCTTACACTCCCCCTTCCCATCTTTTCTCCATAAAATAAGAAAATAACAGTGTTCTCTGATGATGTGAGATAGGTGATAAAATTACCATCAATAAGAAGAAGAACAAGAGGAATCAAGTGACTGTAAAGGTGTCCAGCAGCTGTCTTGCCCACAACCAAGCGCACAACCTGAAGTTGGCTGTTATTACAAAATGCAACACAAATTTCTAATATTTTATTATAGTACGAAAAAAACAAAGATCTGCACATCAAAATCACCTCCACATCAGAAGTGGCTGCATTAGAATCATTTATTTGTCCATTGGAGGTCTTGTACTGCAACACCTCCCCATTTGAGACAACGGATCTGCATATGTTGTAAAGGTAGAATTCATTAAGTAAATAAGCAAAGTTACAAAAATCCAAAAGTTATGGACATAATTAATTTTGATATTTGACCTATGAAAGTATTTCACCATTCATTACCTAATAAAATTCCTCTGTGTTGAAAAACTTTGTAGGAACTCCTCCTCACTCTCAACAAGGGTCAAACCAAAGATTTCCTGGAGAACACTACTAACTTAGCAGCCGAACTAACAACATACTAAACTGAAGTGACAGTTTAAATTGGGAATCAATCCATACCTGAAGAGTTGATTTCAAATCGGTGATCCCTTTGCCTCCCTTGTAACATTTAACCATTTCAATCAGCAATATGACAGAGACAGTGCTAGAAGGATAAGCAACCGGCAAAGTTGGCAAATAGAACAGATTGATGTACACACAAAGAGAGAAGGGGCAACAGAATGCCAACACTTACATCAGTTGTGCTCTCAAATGCAATATCAGCAAAGGCATGAAATGAAATACTGCTAACCCATATGGTAATCTGCATTGGATGGAAGATAATAATGAAGCCATGTTGAATCATTCCGTTCAGACTATTAAAATAGTTTAAACATTATTTGCACCAGTGAAGCAAATGATATGAAAGTAAACTTCAATTAAAATGCACAAAGATTACCTTCAGTCCTTTGTAACCATATATCTTCCCCTCATCAAAAAATCTATCCAAGTCAACATCATCTAAACAAAAGTTGTTTGAAGCACCCACTTCCTCTTTGCTAGAAACTGTGATAGCAGCCATTGATTAAGCACGCATGTGAGCTAATGATTGAGATATTATAAAGAAAATACATAGGATTTAAAGCAGAGTATTCGCTCCCAAGTCAACAAGGATAAAAATATCGACAAAAAGTAAGTTTAATATCACATTCCACAATTAAAATTTTCCAACCAATCTGAAATGTATAAAGCACGCAATTGCATCTATTTTTAACATCCTCGTATAAATTATTAAGCATTCACGTAATCTCAACTCATACGTGTGATTAAATCATTTTCCAGTCACCAAAATCATCACGGCTTGGTTGCTGACTGAATGTCAACCTCAAGTCCAAAATAATCACAACTACGAATTTTCTAGTTCCACGTTTTCTTATTAATCAATAACCAAATAGCTAAAATGGGGTGAGGTCCCAAATTTATTTATTTTAAAGATAAAGTTTCTGGCCTAGGCTCCAACTTTACTGAGCCACCAAACAGCTCATTAAGTTAATGTTCAACCAAACCATCTCAATCAAAATCCCCAAAAAAGAAGTTACCTAAAACTAAAATTTAGCCTCACTCAACAGTATCAAACAGTAATATCCGGTAAATGTGCATAAAACCCATCATACCTAGGTAAATCTTGATGCAATCTTTGGCGTCTACTCCAACATCTGCTCCCAAACCCACAAAAGCACACAAAATTTAGGTCTAAATTAAGTACCAAAACATACAAAACAGAAAGGAGAAGAGAACATAGTGGTTTATAGAAACAACGGAAACATAACTTGGAAAACAGAAGTGAAGAGGACTCACCGGGATGGGAGAAGCCCACACGACGTCGTTTCTTAGGTTCGGTGGCGGTGGGATCGGCGGTGGGTCCTTGCTTCTGGGACCATTTCTGGTTAGGGTTTCGGGAGCTGGAAATGAGAGGGAGAGAGGCGGGAAAAATTACACTGTTATCAAATGGGGGGAATTGGGCATCATCGGTGGTATTTATAGTGAAATTGGGAAAGATAAATATCACGTGATTTGCACGTGCGACGCATTCCAATCTTCCAAATTTATCTGGGCCATCATCCTAGCGTGCGGCCAGTTTATGTTTTTTGGAGCCTTTGCTTGGTAGCTCTGCTTTGCTTTGCTTGCTGGATCTTTGGGTTTTAACCCAGAAAATTGGAGCCGAGCCCAAAATGTTGTTTTTAATTTTCAATTCAATTTTTTTTAACGAAATTTTCAATTCAGTTTTGTTGATGGTTTTCTAGTGTCAGATCCTATTTTGGTGGCTGCATTCCGAAGGAAGTGATTCTACTCCCCCTATAGCAGCAGTTTCGGACATCAGCTTTTCGGTCCGATCTTCGTGTTTGATTTTTGGTGTCAGTTTGATTTCCTGCAGGATTCTTTCGGGAAGATTGAGATCATAACCCTTACATGATTTCTGAATAGCACCTCTCAAAAGAAAAACTGAAATCACTTACCAGGTGATACCATGTTTTTAACACCAAAAAAAGTTGGCTTCAGATAAAATAGATAACCCAGGAAATTATGACAAAAATATAGGCACAAATTCCTTATATCTTGCATTTAACCTGGTAAACTTGAATTTGGATTTAAATCGTCATTCTTCAACCACAAGAATTGCATCCCGAAAATCTATGATTAAGATATTTCTGAAAACTACATAGCATTACCAAATCAATCTTCAGCAAAACTTTGTGATAAGAAAAAAAACACAAACAGGGACCTTCCCTTTTTCAGTAAAAGGGAAAAGTTTCCACATTCGTCTGGAGATAAATATAAAATGGGAAATCATGTCTCTCTGAACCTGGAAAAGTAAAACTAAAGACACCAAATGAACATAGTAGAGCGATGACACATCTTCCCCACTATCTCACTTCCTACCAGGGGTCTTGACAGCCTGCCTATTCCTCTTCTTGACACCAGACTTGGAGACCTTGAGACTCCTGTGAACAACACTAAGCCTGGCAAGGGCTGCTTTCTTCAAATCGGGTCTATAGAAATTATCGGCCACCTGAAACAATTTACAATTAAAAAACAATTTAGCTAGTGCAGATATCAAAACTGTAGGAAACAAAATGCAAAATGAAAAAAAAAAAAAAAAAAAAAAAAAAAAAAAAAAAAAAAGGCAAAAAAACATTTTTACACAAGGGCTTAAAAGAAACATACTATTCCAGAACATACAGAACAATTTCAAACCATTAATTTCTGTTAATTGATCGCATGATTTGTGAAGAGAAAGAGTTTATGTTAAACCCGGGGTAGGAATCATAGACACTCATTAAACTGGATAAGTTATTACTTGAATGTGAGGCTCCAAACATAGTATGATCATATCAAATGTTCCAGAAAACCAACTTCATTATAATGACACCACAGTTGAACGAAAATCAGAAAACATTGAAAGGCCATTTTCATTTTTCTTTTGTTCTCACTAAATTTGGGTCTTCAAATACCATGTCAATTTTCAGGTATAAAAGAGTGCTCAGAAGCCAAGCGTAACAATTGTATTTCATTGAAAATCCTACACAAAGTAGGATCTTCTTACGTGTTAGCTGCTCATCACTGCTAAAAAGTAACCAGGCGGCTGATTAACATGTTAACAACTGTGGCCACACAGATAATAAGATTGCAACGACATTGTAATTAACCTCTATTGCATTCAAGCATCATTGATATTAAGCATATTAATAATTCAACTCAAATAGCACTAGCTAAAACTAGAGCTCAGGATATGAAATTCGGAGGTACCTGATTGATAACAGCCTTGGCCACACGAGGAAACTCTTTCCTGATCACAGACTTGTGAAGCAAACTGGCAGGCTTGTTCTGCTTCTTCGTCTTAGTGGTGGCGAGCACCACAGACTGGTCTTTGCCTCCGGGCTGAATAGTCACCGTCTTCTTGTTCGCCAAGCCTAATTGAAGTTAAAACAACCGAAAATGAATCAAACGAGTCGTATTCCTAGGGTTTAAGTTTTTTTTTCTCGGGAAACAAACAGAGGGTAAGAAAATACCAGAATGCTTGTAGGAGTGGAGGTTGTAGAGGTTGTTGGGCTCCTTGCTGAATCGGACGCCAGCGTTGCCTCGGCCGAACTGCTTCACCAAGAAGGAGTTGTTCTTCTTCACGACCTCCCAGATCAATTGTCCTGGAACGGTAGCCATGGCACCTAGCAGCTGTAATCACAAAAATCACAAAATATCAACGGCTCTGATTCATCCAAGACTAAAATGATTCAATATCAGCATGATCTGATTCAATGGAGCGAGAAATGGAACCAGAGAGCGAAAGATCTTAGAGATGGTGAAGAACTTACTCTTGCAGGGAGAGAGCTTCTGTGTGTGAGAGAGGAGGAGGAGGCTCGGTGGGTTCACGAATAAGCTCAAGTATTTGGTTTATATAGTTCTTTTACAAAACCCTAGACTCTAAAATGACATGCTGTGGAAACTATATTTATAAATTCAGGAATAACATTGTATCAAGTCCGGCCGTTTGGTCTAGTGGTATGATTCTTGCTTTGGGTGCAAGAGGTCCCGAGTTCGATTCTCGGAACGGCCCTTTTTGTAATTTTAATATGTTTTTCTGAGTTTACTTCATTCTTTCTTTTCTTTTTTGATATACATGTATCAAAGTTTACTTCATTTTATTAAGGCCAAAAGTCACTTTTGGTCCCTGTAGTTTGGCACTTCAACCACTTTTGACCCTGTAGTTTCAATTTCGTCACTTTTAACCCTGTAGTTTCATATTTGAAGCAATTCAAGGACATGTTAAAATTTCTGTTAATTTCTTTAACGGAGTAAACATGTGCCCCTCACGTGGAGGGGCAATTTTGTCACTCCAAAGCCCCAAGTAAAAGCTTGTCTCTACCCAACGTAAAACCAAGAATTTAGTATCTTTCTATTATGATTGTTAAATCTAATTGCTATTTCACAAAACATTTGAGTGTTTTTTTAGTCAAATCTGATTGCATTATACCCAAAACAGGGGTCTTACACTTGCAGCCAAAAAAGTATGTCTGATAACAAAAGAAGAATTCAAGGCCTGTTACAGTTATAGCAAAAGAAGAAAGTTCACAAAATATTGGCCAACAACCAGAAACTATTAAACTACGTTCAAAAGTATTGGCCAACTTCAGTTCACAAAATATTGGCCAACAACCAAAATAAGCAATTTCAGTTCACTTGGAATTTTTCTTGTTCGTTGCTTTTCCTGGTGGGTTCCATCGGGCACTTGAACCTCCCATTTGCCTTGATAGTGGAGGCCTAATGCTAACTCCCATATGCCTTGGATTCACAGAACTTGCACCTCCTATTTGCATATTAAGAGTTGGTCTTGTATTCATTGATCTTGCACCTCCAATTTGTCTTTGATTCACAGAGCTTAAATTTCCAATTTGCATATTAGGAATAGGCCTTGGAGTGGGTATAAATAGAGGAGTTGGTCTTGGAGTGGGCATAAGAGGAGTTGGTCTTGAAGTGGGCACAAGAGGAGTTGGCCTTGGTGCATTTGGAGCATTTACATAACCCTTCCTAATCTGCATAGCCACACAAAATGTATATTAATATATATATTACATATAAATATATATTAGGAAAAATGAAAACACTTACAGGAAGCTTTTGTCTTTGCATCAGAGTGGTGTGCACATTCTCTTGAGTTGGCATAGGAGAAAAGGAGGCCACATCTGTAGCACCATTACTTCTCCTTTTCTTCAAAGAAGCTGGAAGTCCCCATCTTTTATCAATATAGGTTCCAGGTGGAGGGTCTTGGGGCTGATTAGAGCAATTCCTTTTGTTGTGGCCTTTTTTCCAACACTTGGTACATGTGACAGTGCCTTTTCTCTTGAGTTTAGTACCACTGGTATCAACAACCTTCTCCATTTCAGGGTCCTTTTTCCTACTCCTTTTTGGTCTCCCCGGTTGTTTTCTAACAATTGGAGGTAAGAGTTGTATTTGATTTGACTTTGGCCACATGTTAAAGCCCTTCACTGGATGAATCATTGGCTCATAAGCCTTCAAATAAGTGTCCTTAAGATAGCATGAAGCTACATAATCTTCTGGACAACCCCTATAAAGATATATGGCAGCAACGGCATGAATGCAAGGGATACCATTAAGATCCCATCTCATACAAGAGCATGTCTTCAATGCTATATTTACCACATGTTGATCATGTAAGTACTCTCCCACTTGATATTCAAATGCTCCAGCTGCTGTTGGCATACAATTCCTAGCCGAATGCATCTTTATCTTCTCCAATTTCTTTTGAATTTTAGGGCAAATGACCCCCTCATGTTTTGCCATAGCAATCCTCTTCACTTCTAACCTTTTCATTAGGTTACACCTTATCATTTCTAGCATGGTCAATATAGGTTTATCTCGGGCACCCAAGATGTAGCTGTTAAATGTTTCACACAAATTATTTAACAACATATCACATTTAGGGGCAGTGCTAAACCTATGTCTAGCCCACTTATTTAGATCTTTCCCCATCAACCAATTATAAGCATCACCATCCCATCTCTTTCAGCTTATTCATCTCAACCTCAAAGTCATGGCAATTGGGAGCCCTAGCTGCACTCCATAAAAGATCTTTCAAACCCTTGCCCTTATACTTTTCCTTGAAGTTCCCATACATATGCCTAACACACCACCTATGTTGGGCTTGAGGCACAACAATATCAAAGGCTTTGTCCAACCCCTATATCAGGTATAAGCATAATCACATTTTAGTTGTTCTTGAATATATATTATATTAATAATCAATAAAACCATATGTTATTCATAAGTTTATTCGGAATAATAAATAATAAAGAATAAAATTAAACCATTATGCATGAATTATAAGCTCACCTTTTGTTGGTCTGATATGAATATCCATCCATGGTCTTCTACAGGACCAAGATCATCCATTAGCAACTCCAAAAACCAGCTCCATGTCTCCTTAGTTTCCAACTCCACAGCAGCATATGCAATAGGGTACATGTTATCATTGGCATCAACACCCACTGCAACAAGTAATTGACCTATGAAAGAAAGGAGTTAAACTCACATATTATTGAAAAATATCAATTAATATAAGTGGCTAATCTGAGTATTTATTCAAACCATTGTTGTAGTTATTACCTGCAAAAGGACCCTTCAAATGACATCCATCCACTCCAATGATAGGTCTGCAACCAGCCAGAAAGCCTTTTTTTGCATGCATCAAGGCATACATAAAGTCTTTGCAAGTGCGGAGGAGGCTCCACCCTTATCTTCATTGTGCTTCCCACATTTGTTGCTTTCACCTCATCACAATACTCCCACAGCCTTGAGTATTGCTCCATGTAAGTCCCTTCTATTATTTTTTGGCTTTCCTCTTAGCTCTAGAACATTGGCTATCTGAAACATTATATCCTAAGTCCCTCTTCACTGCCTTCTTAAGATTTTTAATCGTAATATCAGGCTCATCCATGATACGATCTATATACTTTTGAGCTATGTATACACAATTGACATGTGGGTTAGTAGGATTTCGGACGCAAATGTGTTTATCAATAAAGGTCTTGATCTGCAACGTTTCCTCTAGTTGCATATATGAAGCATGAAGCATCCAAGTGCAGTTTGTACATCTTGCAGTGATCCTCCTCTTATCATTTTTGACAAATTTTATTGAATAATTTCCCATCACTGCATAATTCTTAACAGCTGTCTTCAAGATCTCCTTGCTTCCAAATAACATTCCTTTCTCAAGCTTGGGATTATTCAAATCAGACTTACAGAACTCTGGATACTTCCTCTTCATTTCACCATCCTCATCTGAAGAGTGGTTAGGTGAGTTGAAAGCTTTTTCTGAGTTTGTATCCGAGTCTTCTTCATGATCAAAAGCCACAAAATCCTTAGGTAGATAGGTATTTCCTACTCTCCCAAAACTGGATTGCATATTTCTATCAAACAGGTTGTTGTCATCAATGGCAGCATCATTATCACTTTCATATATTTCTTTATCTGATTCATCACCACTGTCTTGAAGATCTCTTACTCTCCTCCTACCATCAACGTCACAGTCTTCTTCACTATCCTTTTCATCATCAACATTGACAGGTACCTTTATCCTATCTTCATTGTCAATATTATGTCCATACACAGGCACTTCTATTGTTCCCATGTTGTCATTACCCACTTCTTGTCCACCTTCAAAGGAAATTTGTGAAGCTTGATTAAAAATATCATCAAAATATTCATCTGGAACCTCATCAACTGCTTCGACATAAGGAAATCGTGGAGGGCCAGCATCTGAAAAATCAATGCCATAAAATTGAAAATATTGCTTTACTTTATGTGAATAAAAGCATTCAGAGCTATTAAATAACAAATGGCATGCATATTGCTTTACTTTATGCAAATAGCTGACCATTGTGTTTCCCAAACTCCCAATACACACACACTATTTTATAAAATTTTCAACCATCATAGCAACAAAGCATAACTTTCCAAACCCAAAGTTGCATAACAAAACAAGGTCATTCAAATATGAAAAACAAAACAAAACAAAAGAATGGAATAAACAAAAGCGAGAACAGAGAAGAGTGCAACAACAAAGTTCTTGGGATTGCCATTGCCACCATTTTTGAAGATTGACATTCCCAAGCTCTTCAGGGAGAGCATCAATCAAGAATCTGGCCAGGTAAAAAAAAACAAAAAAACAAAAGGCTCAATAAAAAGTGGAAGAGGGGAGAGGTTGGATGAACAAGGAAAGTGCAGATTGGTTGGGCACTGTTGATCCTATTGATGACTTTCTGATTAACTCCTTCCTTGGCCTACCCATTTCCTTGTCTTAGTTCTTAGTGGTTTCAAGAGCGATAATCATTCCTTTTTCTATAGTGTAATATATATATATATATATATATATATATAAAATCAACGCTGAAAATCACGCTTTTTCTCTAAATTTCGAAAAAAATTACCCACTACATGGGTTGCATACGGAATTTAAACTGATTCCTCTAATGATGATCATTAAAATTTATATATGTGAGTATTACATAGCCTGACACTAAAATGTAGATGAATTTGACTGTTTAACAAGTGATGATTACAAAATTATAGCTATTTTATGTTTTTTTTTCTTTTTCCTGTGTTGTTATCGTTCTCTTTCTGCAACTATATAAACATCATTTGCTTTCAGAAATGGCGTTGGAACCTACTAATTATATGCATTGAAACCTCAAATAAAAGAAAGTTGTAAAACAAATTCGCACAGAAAATTGAACCTTCAAAGATTTTGAGTTCACCTGGATTATTGAAGCCTCCATCGACTTCACCTCTGTTCTTCACCTCCATCGACTTCACCTCCCTAAACCCTATTGAAGTTCTGCTAGTCTTTTCGCACCCTCTCGTTGCACTTAATCAAAAGCCCAGATGAATTTCACTAAATTTTGAAGAGCCCTAATCCTAATCTGCTTCAAAATGGCCAATTTCGCGCGCCCTAGGGAAGAGGAAGAGACAAGTTGCTTTGGAGTGACAAAATTGCCCCTCCACATGAGGGGCACATGTTTACTCCGTTAAAGAAATTAACAGAAATTTTAACATGTCCTTGAATTGCTTCAAATATGAAACTACAGGGTTAAAAGTGACGAAATTGAAACTACAGGGTCAAAAGTGGTTGAAGTGTCAAACTACAGGGACCAAAAGTGACTTTTGGCCTTTTATTAATTACTGTTTTTCACTCCCTTTAGAATTCAAACTTTCTCACTTAACTCTTAAGAGTTCTAAAAACCTTAATTCGTATTCTGACGTGACATGAGTATTATAGTAATTTCAACTAATAGAAATTAAATTTTTTTAAATTTTTTTATAAGTGTTTTAAAAATAAAATAACTATTAAATAATTTACCAAAGTCTATTTATTTCATTTTTTTTTGCCACGCTGCTTGAAGAACCCATAAAAGCTACCCTGCTCAAGTTGCAAGCTTTAATTTTTAGAATCAAAGCGGCAGCCTTTTCTCTCTGCTCTACAGTTTCGTCGAACTCTCTCCGCCTCTCTCCCCGGCTGGTAAAGTTTCTCTTTCCCTTGGATTTCGAAATATATGAAGTTTCGTTGATGGGTTTAAAGATGAGAGTTTTGGATTGTTCAAATGCCTTTCCTTTCTTTTCTTTTCTTTTTATTTGAAGTGTTTTGCGGGTGAAGCAATGGAAGACAACCTGATAGCAAGCGCGCACTCTTCTGCGTTCAGAGAGTCAGAGGATTTGGAGGGCCAATCCAGCGAAATCGAAGGGTACGATTTCAATCAAGGCATAGACTACCCTCGCCTCCTCAGCTCCATGCTTTCCACTGGCTTCCAAGCCTCCAATCTCGGAGACGCCATTCAAGTCGTCAACCAAATGGTAAACTTTCTATCACCAAACCAACTTCATTGTCATTTAGTTTTTAACCAAACCCATCGTTTTAATTGCACTGAAGCTAGATTGGAGCCTAGCAGTCGAGGGTGTAGCTGAAGATTGCGGTGAGGACGAGACGGATTTGAAGTACAGAATGTCGGTGAAATGCAAGGTGTTTCTGGGTTTTACTTCGAATTTGGTTTCGTCTGGGATTAGAGACACGATTCGGTACTTGGTGGAGCACCGTATGGTGGATGTGGTGGTTACAACTGCTGGTGGCATAGAAGAAGATCTTATAAAATGCCTTGCGCCCACTTATAGAGGTGATTTCTCTTTAGCTGGAGCTCAGTTGCGGTCGAAAGGCTTGAATCGTATCGGTAATTTGCTTGTTCCTAATGGTAACTACTGCAAGTTTGAGGATTGGATCATACCTATTTTCGACCAGATGTTGAAGGAACAAACTGAGCAGGCATGTATCTTAAAGGAGGATACTTTCTTTTGAAGTTAGTTTTTTCAATTTATGGGGGGTGTGTGATTGATATGGTTTTTTTTAGCAGAACATATTGTGGACGCCGTCTAAATTGATTGCACGCTTGGGGAAGGAAATAAATGATCGACGTTCATATCTTTATTGGGCATACAAGGCAAGAAATCAACCAAATCGAGCACTTTATGTTTAGCTCTTAAGCTTGTACATCATGTTGGTATTGTTTATTTTAAAGTCTAAATTTAGTTGGATAAATGTTAGTTAGTAATGGGGTTGTGTATCAAAATTATGCAAGAGTACCATTGGAATGTTTGTTATCTTCTACTTGTATCTATGAAAATAGTGGCAGTGATCTTTGCAGTAACATTTGGTGTATTTTTGTGGTTGTTTTCCAGAACAATATCCCAGTTTTCTGTCCAGGCTTAACAGATGGCTCACTGGGAGACATGTTGTACTTTCATTCTTTCCGCAGTCCAGGTCTGATCGTTGATGTAGTGCAAGGTATGCTGCTCGTTACTTTGTCATTGCAGCTGATAATTAACTTGGGAAAATGTAATCACAAGATAGCATGCCTTTGAACAGATATTAGGGCCATGAACGGCGAAGCTGTCCATGCAAATCCAAGGAAGACTGGAATGATCATTCTCGGAGGGGGCCTGCCCAAACACCACATTTGCAATGCCAACATGATGCGTAATGGTGCGGATTATGCTGTCTTCATCAATACTGCACAAGAGTTTGATGGGAGTGATTCTGGAGCTCGTCCAGATGAGGCTGTATCATGGGGGAAAATACGGGGTTCTGCTAAAACTGTTAAGGTATTACCTAACCTATGTTATGTCTTCACTATGCCCATTCCCTTTTAGCTCTCATTTTTGTTTGCATTATAATATATACTTCTATCCACCAAATGCTTACCCTTCCAGCGTTTTATCCCTTTGTTTAATTTCCCTCCTTTTGATTGGTTGAACCAGGTACATTGCGATGCAACAATTGCTTTCCCTCTGCTGGTTGCTGAAACATTTGCCAAGAAAGCTGTCGAGACCATGACTTAATATAGTTTCATTGTGAAGATTGATTTATGATATAGAGTTTCAAGTAGTCGTGATGAAGCTGATAACTGCTGGATGGGGCTCAGCAAACATGATAATTACCACATCGTATTCAAGGGTTTGCAAGATCCTATGTAGGATTAGGAATACAGAAATTCACATTTTTCCCCTTGTGTTAGATTTCTTTACTTGTTCTGGTCTATCGTAGGGGTTGAGATGACATACTAGGGGAATTTACTCCTGTATGAATGCTAAGTCCATTTACTTAAGAGGTATATATCCCTCTTCTAGTTAGGCCAAAATTCTTGTCAAATTGTTATGTTCACCAAATTACGCCGTTTTTAAGCCATTCCTCCATGAAAATGAGTATTCTTCGATGACCAATCTTTAAATTTTAGAACAATCCTCCCTTTTTAAATTATAATCATTTTTAGCTTGAATGGTTTGGACCTTGGGTTTGCCATTTCATTTGGGAACTTTGGAGATGAAGTTGTTCGTGCCTCATAAACAATGCTCGGAAGAGCAGAGATCACTACAGCAAAAATTTATTTCATTAAAACTCCTGAGTTCAGAAAACTTATAATTCAAATCTCATTAGCATAGGAATATTGCCAAATGCTCAAGCTTAGAAACGTAAGATTTCAACTTTCAAGCAAGAATCAGTTAATTCTCCTGCAAATTGTGATCCCATCACCCAAAGAAGCATGTGAAATTTGGACACGAGCATCGGCTGCGAGTAACTTGTTAAGCTCAATAGTCGCCTGTCTGCCTTGTTTCATGTATTCTGGAGTCAATTCCTCAGGCATTACAACTGTTCCTCCCCAGAGGGTGTTATCATAGACAACTATGCCACCCACCTTCAACAGCTTCATTAGCCTCTCATGGTAATTCCAATAGTTCACCTTGTCGGCATCAATGAAAGCAAAGTCAAAACTGCCTTCATTTTCATACTGCAACATAATCCCCAACCCATGATAAAATTAAGTCACAAACTTCGTTGTTTTCAGCTAAGCCGAAAAGAATGGTTTCAAATGCAAAATACTTACATGTTCTAGTAGCTTATCAAGAACTGGTAGGGCTTCAGATTCAATTAAGTCAATTTTGTGTTGAACACCAGCTTTCTTTATGATTGGCAACCCTATTTGATCATATGCCTCACGATTCACATCTACTGCTACAATCTGCAATAAGGTATTCAGAACCATAAATAGTTTCAAGTAGATGGAAGTTCATTACTTACTAGCTTTCAGCATATTCTTTTATTATAGCCTCGAATGATAAATAAGCAAATTCAGAATTAGTAGTGGCAGACCTTGCCATCCTCAGGAATTGTAAGAGCAGTGAGGAGAAGAGAGTATCCGGTGAAAACACCAACTTCGATTGTCTTCTTTGCATCTACTAGCTTCAACAGCATAGTCATTAACTGACCTGCATCTGGTGCAGTAGCCATCTGAGACCTAAAAAATAACAAGCTTATTAATAATCCACCTTAGTAGTTTTCACTCACTCACATGTCAAGTTATGGCTTGGTTATCAAGAAGCTTAATGAAACTTAAGATGCAGGCCACCTTGGGATGTATATGATTTAATCAACACCATAAGCGCTAAGATAAGAAGGACGACAACCTTGGGTGGCTGGCAGTGGCGGCCCTTAGCTCCTTGAGAGGCTCCAGTTCACGGGGATATACACTAGTCTCCAAGATATACTGCCACATTTTCAAAATGAAATGTCAAAAAATTTAAACAGAAAAAGCATAACAAAAGTTGAGAGAACGTGTGGAACCTGATATAACTCATCACTCTGCAGCAGTCCCTTTTGTGAAGGATCCGGTTCCTTTTTCAGGTTGTGCTCCATTTCTCTCCAAATATCTCACAATAGAGTTCTGATAGGCTGCAAGGAGGAAGAAGCTAATCCAAGCAATTCTACAAATCCAACAGTTAAGTTAAGAAGAGAATGATTAAAAATTAACAGGCTTATCTGTACAAAGGCAGAGCACAATTGCAACTCAACTTCAATGGCATCAAGAACAGAGTCACAGGGCCCTATACAAGAATCCCAAAGTTTTGAGTATCAAACTACCACCTTTTAATCTTTAGAGTGTCCATGAAGGCTAAAAAGTCTATGAGTATTTTGTGGTTCACAAAATCAAATGCCAACATAGTAAATTTTTATGAACAGATAAAAATAAGACTCAACAGATAAACCCAACTCCTGTAAATTTGACAAACTGTGTGATCATTCTCACATCGACTTTCATCAACCTAATAAACCCATATGCCCATTTATTTACCGCTCATCAATCTCTCAAGGACAAAGTTACCATCTAGGCTACAAGTATTCAGGGTATGTATCATTTCTTCCTCAATCCAAAAGTCTGCAATATATTCATTGAAAAGAAAGTATAAAAATATCAAGTCTGAACCTTCATACATAGTAAACAAACAATTGACACTACGCTTATGCAATAAATTTCACTGAGAAAGGGAAAGAGAGATGGAGAAATAAAGAACCCGATGAAAACGGAAGGTTGAGTCTTGGCCTTTGAATTTGCTGCCACGGTGAACCGAAACACATCAAATCATAAATGAGCAAAATGTGTTTTTGATTGATGAGTTGGGAATTTTCCGACCCCACCAACCACAGAATTTTCTTTTTCAACTGCAGGCTGGCTGTTATACGACCGTACTAAAGTGTACGACATTCTTTGACTTGCCGTTGCCGCTCTTTTTTCAGAAAAGAACAAGTAACGTTAAATGGCCCTGTCTTGACCGTTTATTGCTATAGAAAGTCCTAAAAGTCCAAAACTTTCACTTCTATATAACAACTTTTTTTGTTTGCCAAAATTTGGAAGGGGAGGAGGGAAAACTCACACACACTGGTATCACGAGAGCTTGAACTCAGGACCACTTGAAAGCATGCCAAAAGTCCGGGTCAATCCAACTAACACCCAATTGATAACTTCTATATAACAATTGATGCGGCAATGTTGGTTTATATTTGAGAAAGCATTTGGTGACTGTAGATTGTAAGAGCATCCACAGTGGGAGGGTGTATATGGAGATGTATGTTAAATATACACCCCAAGTCACGGAATCGTCTCCAATGGGGAGATGTAAATGGATGTAAATATACATCACTACTATGGGGATGTAAAATAAAATGTACATTTTTACATCTCTTGCACGTGGGACCCACCCGAGAAAAGAAGAGGAAAAGTGGAGAAAATTCATCATAAAAGAGTGGGACCTGTTGCTACAGTAATCGCTAGAAAAAAAATTCACAATTTTGGGAATTTTGGGATGAAATCATATCTTCTCTGAATTTAAATATTTTTAGGTCTATTTGTTTGAAAAAAAATAAAATTAACCTAATACAAAAAAAAATTTATTTGATAAAGTAAACACAAAATACAAATTTAGCACAAAAACGAATTAAGACAATCAAATCAATTATACATCTTTAAATTTACATCATTTTTCATTGGAGTAAAAAACTTATTTACACCTCCCGGAGGTGTAAAAGGGATGTAAAAGTGGCTTTACATCCCTGAAAATACACCCTTCCATTGTAGATGCTCTAAGGCCATCCCAATGGGGGCTCTAAAGTGGGCTGCACCACCCTTGGGCTGCAATATATAGCAACTAAAGCAAAAAAGTCATCCCTAGTGGTTCAGTTTTGGGGCCTTAAATGATTGAGCCCCACCGGAGCTGTACCCAGATTTATGTTCATGGTCGAAACCCCTAAAACCGAATGGGGCCCACATAAAGAAAAAGTTGTCAACCCATATGTGTTGTTGGTGACTTGCCCTGTGACTGTAGCTCATGATACTCTCTTCTTGACCAATGTTTGCTTCTCTTTGTTTTATATTTTATTTAATGTGTCCAATGAGAGGGGATGGGCTAGATGGGCTTGTTTTTGTATTTTTTGACGGATGAGGCTTTGTTTTTTTTCAAGGCAACAATCCAGTTTTTTTTCATAGAAAAGATTTTCAAATCTTGTCCAAATTTTGATTTTTTTTTTCTTGAAATGTTCACACACAAAAAACTAACATGCTATAATATACATTAAAGCAAATAAATTTTTTATTTTAAAAATAACACGTATATAAAATTATATCGAATATAGAGCTCTTCTATTGTGAGAGTAATTCCTTTAGAACCTCAAAGATTCTATCGGAGCTCTAAATGGGGCTCTATAAACCCTTTTTAGAGCCCCAACCATTGGGGATGGCGTAATATCTTTTGACCTGAGTTTTGGATGTGTTCAACTCAGCAAGGCTGTGATGAATGGGACTTGAGTTTTGAATATATTGAGTTCTTGATCAATCACTTCACTTGCTCAACATTGTCATTTTTATGAACTGGGTGATTTTATTTCATCTCAATTCTCAACTAAGGTTTATAAAGTAGTTTCTTAACAGAACTAATCTGATTAAGTACGTATGATATTCATATCGACTTTCTGACTCAACTTGATGATCAGCATATGCGCCTGCAGATTGTGATCCCATCACCCAACGGAACTTGGGAAATTTCAACGTTTGTGTCTGCAGAAACCAATTTGTTAAACTCAATTGCGCACAGCCTATACTCCCTTTTGGCCTCTGGAACATCCTCTTCAGGCCAAGCAACTGTTCCTCCCCACAGTGTGTTGTCATACATAAGTATCCCACCAACCTTAATCAGTTTCATTAGCCTTTGATGGTAGTTCCAATAGTTGTTCTTGTCCGCGTCAACAAAAGCAAAGTCGAAGCTCCCTTCCTTCTCTGGCTGCAGCACAACATGCACAAAGCATCACCAATCTTCGAATACTTGAAGTTGAAAAGAAATCAAATAGAGTCAAATACAAAGTAGCAATTTTTTCTCTGCTTACATCTTCTAAGAGTTTGTCGAGAATAGGAAGAGCTTGGGACTCAATGAAGTCAATTTTGTGTTCCACACGGGCTTTTTTTATAACTGGTAAGCCTATTTCGTAAGTTTTTCGGTTGATGTCTATGGCTGTAATCTGCATTCATGCATTATAAACCATAAAGCATAACTTTTGGTTGTTGTTAATCAGTTGAATTGGATAGATATATGGACCAAGTTACCAACCTTGCCATCATCAGGAATTGTAAGAGCTGTGAGGAGAAGAGAGTAGCCAGTAAAAACTCCAATTTCAATTGTTTTTTTTGGGTTCACCAGTTTCAAGAGAAAGGTCATTAGCTGACCTGCATCAGGTGCGGTCCCCATGAAAGCCCTGCACAAGAAAGAATGGTTGGACCATAAGATGGTTCTAAAGAAGACGTGTAAATGTTGTAATTTTACAGTTTTGCTGCACCTTCATTTTTGAAATCTAGAGACTTACATTGGGTGGTTTGCACTAGCAATTCTCAGTTCCTTGAGAGGATTTGGTTCTCTTGGGTACACACTAGTCTTCAGTATGTACTGCCATTTCAATTGGGACAGGCAGTTTAATTGTTAATATCATGCATATGGACAAGTATATTCAAATTAGGCACACTCTATATGCAGAGTTACCTCATGTAACTCCTGGCTCTGCAACACAGTTGGGTTTTTCAAGCTCACTGGCTCTCTTGTATTTTCCATTGCCGAATAATTCTGAAAATCCTCCTGCATAAAGCAATTTTAGAATAGTACTTGAGGCAACCATAAGATTCATGAAAGTAAAAGAAACCACCAAATATAAATTTCACATGGTTCCAAATTGATATGGAAATTACTCTGATCCAGAGATAAACCCAAAATGTGTCTGGATTGAAGTTCTGAATAGATACTAGCAACGCTAAACTTATGAGGCTTTTGTCTCACCTTTGTGCTTGTAACATTTGTACTTTTGTCCTTTTTATAAGCTCTTGTAAGTCGGTTTTGCCTCACAAGCTTTTTGTTTTAACTTTTTATTTATTTATTACTATTACTTGGTTACGTAAAGCAGTTTTCACCCTAGCTTTTCTCAGTTGGGACCTCACAAGCTTTAGGCCTTCTCCAACCCTGGTTGTAGCCTCAAAATGTGTCAAACTCATCTTTAGCTGTGGGCCCCAAAAATAAAATTAGGTCAAATTTTGAGATGGCTAGTTTTTATTTAGGAGTTATGTGTGTGGCTTGTATTCATTTATGGTGTTGTGTGGCTTGTATTTATTTAGGGGTTATGTGGCTAGTTTTCATTTAGGTGTTGCGTGTGTGGCTTGTTTTCATTTAGGAGTTATGACACGTCACCACTATAATGGTGTCTTGTCACTTTTTTTCATGGTTAGAGACTATGATATAAATTGAAGTTGGACAACTTGTTTTCATAAAATTTCAATGTTACAAAAGCTTTTGAAAAAATTGATGCACTTTCCAAAAGGTTCTGACCGTTAAAAAAAAGTAACGGCTAGCTAACATTAGTGCGTCTTTAATAGCAACCCTTGGATATATGTCTGTTAATTTCTAGTTGCACGAACTGATCTCATGATCACACCCACATGATTCTTCCTCCTGTTAGGTAGCACATGCGATGGGCCCACGAAATAAATTTGGCATGTGAAAATGACTAAATGGCTAAATGTGGCCCTCAAAATTCAGTCTAAATTTTTGTTTTTTGACCCACGGCTGGAGATGGCCTTAGAGCATCTCCAACTGATATGTCAAAAGTGTCACATAAACATTTAACGACTATAAATAACATCTCACATCACTCCAACTGAATTGTCAAAGCTGATGTGGAATGAAGGCTGGAGGTTCAGCTGTTATTTTTGACATCAAAAAAATAAGATGTCAAATAAATATTTTATTATTTTTAAAGACAAATGGCTGTGACTTTCATATATAATTTTACTTTTCTTTATCTTTAATGATTTGACTGTTACAATAATTATTTATTTGACATATCGGATAGAGTGTAAAACTGTGTAAGTGTCAAATTGCCATATCAGCCATCAAATTTAAATTTGATGTTTGCTATTTGACATCTCCCTTGGAGATGCCAAATCCTATGTGACACTTTTAACGGATAAAAATAACAGTTGAAATTTACTCTAACCGAACAGCTATAGTCTACGTGGAATGGCGTGTGAAGCCTCTGCTGTCAAAATTGCCGTCAAGTGCTGGAGACGTCTTTTGATTAATTTATTATTTCTTTACCCATCTGGTTGTGGCTTTATCATTCATTTAATACTTATCTATATTTTTTTTCTTCTTGTTACTATTTCATGCATCTGCTGTCATTAATGCTTTCATTATTATTTTTATTTTTAATTCTTTTCCTTTGTTATCGTCACTTGACACTACTATATTGTTGAAATTTTTACCGTTGAAAATTTATGTTGATCTTTTGAAAATTTATGTTGATCTTTTTTATGTTCTTTTCATCAACCAACGTGGAGATGGATGATTTTTTTTGTTTAATTGTATTTATGTTACATTTTATAATTAATTTATAAGTATTTTAACTTGATTAATGAATTACTCTTAATACTAAAATTTAAAAATACATTCATTTAAGAAAGTAATAAATAAATCAACACTAATGTAATAAAATAATATTTTAATTTGACATATCGGGTGAGGTGTAAAACTATGCAGGATGTCAAATTACCACATCAGCCATCAAATTTAAATTTGATATTTGGTATTTGAGAGATGCTCTTAGATGGAGATGTCAAATACCAAACATCAAATTTAAATTTGATGGATGATGTGGCAATTTGACACTTACACAATTTGACACTTCACCCGATATGTCAAATAAATAATTATTGTAACAGTCAAATCATTTAAGATAAAGAAGAAAAAAAAATTAAAAAATTAATAAATGAAAGTAACAACCAGCTGTCTTTAAAAGCTAATAAAATATTCATTTGACATCTTACTTTTGGGATGTCAAAAATAACATCTCAACCTCTAGCCTTCATTCCACATCAGCTTTGACACATCGGTTGGAGTGATGTGAGATGTTATTTCTAACTGTTAAATGTCTATGTGGCACTTTTGACACATCGGTTGAATATGCTCTTAGCTGTCCTCCAATGGCCTAAATGAAAACAAGCCACACAACAACATAATAGTATAATGTATGAATGTTGTACCATAGTTTTTCTCAAAATAATAAAATATGGTGGGCCCTAAAATATAGCCATGCATGGCTAGAGATGAAAAAATTTAGCCATTCATTATTTATAAAAAAAAATTAATATTCTAGAGAGCTAAATTGTAACATGGGTCTACATTTGGCCCTATGACTGTCTTCCTATGAAAATGTTGTTGAAAAACGTATGCCTTTTAAAATAAAGTCTTTTACAATAAAACATTTGAACCATATTTTTTAGCCACAATTTTAACATGGCCAAAACAAACCAACCATCTTGGTGAGATATATAAGCAGTAATGTAATTGGCAGATACGATCCTTATAGCATAGTCTCGGATATTCTCATAAAATTTAAAACAAAGAGAAACGGAAAAATGTTTTATTACATAACTCTTACAAATGGTAACCTCATCATATTTGCAATATAATGGTCTAAAAATGAAAAAATAAAAAATAAACGACTCAATTCTCACACGAAAGTTACATATAACCATCAACCCTTACTTGACAATCATAAAAAATTCATGTCAAAGAATAGCTAACCTTTTGTGATAATCACATAAAAATGTATCCTATATTACTATGTGCAAATAACTATATCTATTGTCGACTCTGCCGGAGGGCCATAAACTTGGCAATTATTGCATCGGAGTCGGGAAGCTTTGGGTGGACATGAGAAGCTCTCTCCTTTGGTGCACTCTCCAATGTAGAACCTGAAGATTTTGGAGTTTCAGTGCTCCGTGCTGTTGCAATCTTTGGAGAAAGACTGGATGATTGTTCCCTTGGAAATGACTTTGAAGTCTCTACATGCGCAGAGGACCTCTTGGATTCCGGTATTGGTTTAGAAGCTGCTTGTTCTACTGGTCTACGTCGCTCCTGACTTCCTGGGCGCATTGAACTCTTTGTCTGGGACAAGGGCCTTTGTAGAGTTTCAGTGGCATAGGAGGGGTTTCCGTATGACTTTGAAGTCTCTATGGGCGAGGACCTCTTGGATTCTACAATTGGTTTATAAGCTGCTTCTTCTGCTGGTCTATGCCACTCCTGACTTCCTGGGCGTTCTGAGCTCTTGGTTTGGGATGATGGCTTTGGTAGAGTTTCAGTGGCATAGGAATTCCTTGAAGAGGTGTTTCCATATGACTTTGAAGTCTCTACAGGAGAGGACCTCTTGGTATCTGGAATTAGTTTAGGAGCTGCTTCCTCTGCTGGTCTATGCCACTCCTGACTTCCTGGGCGTTCTGAGCTCTTGGTCTGGGACAAGGGCTTTGGTGCAGTTTCTGTGGCATAGGAACTTCGTGAAGAGGGGTTTTCATATGAATTTGAAGTCTCTACGGGTGAGGACCTCTTGGATTCTGGAATTGGTTTCGGAGCTGCTTCTTCTGCTGGTCTATGCCACTCCTGACTACCCGGGCGTTCTGAGCTCTTGGTCTGGGACAAGGGCTTTGGTACAGTTTCAGTGGCATAGGAACTCCTTGAAGAGGAGTTTCTGTATGACTTTGAAGTCTCTACAGGCGAGTAACTCTGGGATTCTGGTATTGGTTCAGGAGCTGCTTGTTCTGCAGGTCTATTCCACTCCCGACTCCCTGAGCGCTCTGAGCTCTTGGTATGGGATGAGGACTTTGGTAGAGTTTCAGTGGCATAGGACCTCCTTGAAGAGACTTTTCCGTATTCTGAAGTCCTTGACACGTCAGAAACAACTGCTGTCTTTGAGCTAGAACTTCTAACAGAATTTGAAGAAGAGGGCTGTGTCCTTCTAGATAGTTTAGCACTTGGACGAGCATTGCTTGTGGAAATCTTTGTATGAAGATCTTCCTCACCTTCGCTATCCTCTGAATCAAAGAAACCGAAGGTGGATTTTGAGCTTGCCTTTACTTCAGATCCCAATTTTTTATTGAATGGGTCTTTACTACTGCTAACAATTCCATGTGACAGTTCATCCTCTGAAGAATCATCATCGGGAGCAATATATGAGACTCGGGTTCTTCTGCTCTGTTCCTTAATCAGTTTTGTGCTCCCTTGCAGATTATTTGGCTCTTGACTAGAAGTACCAGAAATTATGGAAGTCCCGACTTTCGCAGAATGGGAAGGTTGCTCAATCTTAGTATCCTCAGTGACTTGTTTGACAAACAAAGAGTTTCCTGATGGTTTCCTGGTAAACGGTGGATGCTTATACCCCTTATTCCGCAGGCCACCTGTCAAAGTCCCATAGTTCAACTCATTGTCAGTGTCGCTTACACAACTACACCCCTCTGAAACCTCACTATCTTTCACAGTTTGAGGCAACTGTAGTGTTTGAAAATCGTCCTTGACATTTGAGTCTAATCCAGATTTCATTAGCCCTCGAGATGGCTCACCAGTAGGCAATTCATCATAATCAAACTTTTCCTCCGAGGCAGTGCTATTTTCAACTCCTTGGCTTCTCTCAGACTGTACATCAACGGAGTTCAAATTAAGAGATGAAGGCAGTAACCATGACTTTTGATTAGAACCCAAATTTAACTCCTCCGAAGATGAAGATCCAAATGACCTATGTCCTGCACTATGGCTCTGTCCAGAAGAAAGTTTAGAAACTGTGCTCTGGGAAAGCTTAGACTTGTCTAACTCCTCTTCACTGTCTGAACTTGGGCCATCTGAAGCATCAAAAGCAACAGGCAACAAGTCATTTGGTTCTGAAGAAGCCACAGAACCTGTCAAGTTTTCTGAAAAAACAGGAGGGGAGTGCTGCATCGATGAAGAACTTAATTGTGAAGTGGACTTAAATTGTACTTCATCAGTCTGACGTTTGGAGCCCCAATCATTTAAATGAGCTGAAGAAGAAAATGAGTTTCTATTGGGAGAAGGAAAATAAAAACTAGATTCTTGGCCCTTGAAGTCCTCCACATCAAATTTATATTTATCATCATCTGAATCAGAGTCATCAAAAACCAAAGCACCATTTCCAAAAGAATTCATATGCTTT